TTTTGGTTTATCGTCGATAAAGACAAAACACAATTGAATGCAAAGTTTCTTGGCAGCAGTGAATGGGTTAGCACCGAGCACAACGATAAAAAGGACAAAAACCTCAAAGGAAATCCTATTGTTATTGGGACATAAACCGTACAAGTGTACTTGCAGTGCCAAAATAAGAATCAACAAATACACGAATTTATTTCCACAATTAACAGAACAAGCGATGAAAGACGCATCATGCTCCATTGAACCTATATCAAATATATCATGATAGTCAGTGTGAATAAAATACAGGATCTACTAAAATAAATTGTCAGCTCAATGGATTTAATTATTCAAATTAATCAAATTTCTTAAGACGGTTTTTATATGAAGTTTGCATACATAATAAAAAGAGTTATCATATTCAACAAAACCAGGCAGGATAAATGTATTGCGTAACGTTATAACAAAATGTAATTAATCATTGACTTATTACGCTTTGTTAGCATAAGAATATACTTTTTCAAAGCTAGGTCTTGGCACTCAAACTTTTGTTAGCTTAGAGGTAAATTGTTTACTTAATGTTTCAGTTATATAAAGATTCATTCCAGCTATAGCATATTTGAGAATTTACCCGCTTGTATGTTACTAAAAAACTCAAAGAAGTATTTGAAAATGATATCAGAATAAATGAAATTTACTTTACGATAGATAAAGCTGACAATGCTTCAACGTCTATGTCCTTAAAGCCATTTGACGCGCCTTTGACTGTCTTTTGCGTTTGATTGCTAGGCAGCACGATATCTCTCGTTTGAACTTACAAACACTCAGCGTGCCGTTAATGTTAGGCGATTACGCATTTTGTTTAATGAGGAACCTCCCAGACTTTAGCCGTCTAACATATGGTATTTTGACATTCTGATATGGTTGGTATACCACAGAATTCAGAGAAAATATATTTCTAGCACGTGTATAAAAAGAACATTTTGGGACAATGCTTTTAAAATGGTACAAATTTGTCTAGAAAAGCTTTCAAAGACAGAAAACTGGACGGGACGATTTGCGTTGATGATACGCATCATAGCAATAATACTTATTGAATATTATCGTAAGGGTCCCCTTCCCAGTGCCAAAAATTTAACTGTTCATTGTAAAGTATTTTTTTGCGACATGAGTTAAGTTATAATAAATGGTTTCTGGAAAGAAACAATACCTTACACGATTTTTATTTGAAAATTAACATGAAATATTTAAATTTGCATGGCATTGTCACTATATAGCCTCTTTGAAAGCTGTGTCGTTGATGGGACTTTAATTACCATGCATCACGAGACACAATTCTTAGCGTATTAATACAACACTGACCGGAACTACAATATCCAATATAAATAAACATGGCGGCTGCGAAATATCGCTGGGCATTGTGAGATTTGACAATGCCATTGTAAATTTATATGCAAAATAAAATGAAAAACAAGTCTGCAATATCGTACAAAATGCACATCGGTTGAAATCACCAATGCCGGCAATGGAACCAATTTTAACGCTCATGCGATTTATCAGAAATATCGTCTGTTACACTGCACTGATCAACAGGGGTTCGTTACAAATGTCTGAAATACACATATTATATTGACCTACTGACACATATGTTACAGACCTACTGATATGAGTCACAGCACACATAAACATTTCAGACACTTGTAATAAACCCCTGTGCTCCGTCGCAAGATCACTCACTTCAAACGCGTCTCGCAGCCACTGTTTCCTCAGTTACTGACCACATGTCAAATATCGAGTCTGTTATATAATCTACAGACTGTAGTCAGATTCCCATACAATCAACAAATAAATTCACGTCTGGATTCTTCAAAAAAAGAGCAAAGAGAAAAGTTCAAATTAACTTCCAAAAATAACTCCCTCGTGGAGGGCAAGGTCGGATTTACGGTGTTCACTGTATTTATCCATGTGTACATTTGTTCCGGAGAACAGTCGAAACAATTTCAAATCTAACTTTCAGCTCAGAGTTCTATTGATAAACTTAAATCACCCTATAGACATATCATACGCAATTGTATTGATACTGAATTGTGGAATAACATTAAAGTGTTTGTTAAAATTTCAAAGTACTACTTTGTTTGCCAATCAGCACGCGACAAACACGCTGTAGTACTGGATATCTGTTATATTACCTCCCTTCTAAATCTGGTATATAATGCATGAACAGCTTGCCAAGAATATAACACAAAATTTAAATCAGGTATGTTTACCAAAAATATTTTAAAAATTAATAAAAATTACATGTAGATGGATAAATGTGATATTCAAAAGACAACAGATATTATTTTAAATATTAAATCTCTTTTATTTATTTATAATCACATTTTTAAAATTTACATTTGTTAAGCTAACTATGCTTTGAAGAACTTGTCCCATAACGGTTAATTGCACATGTTGATGTTTGCCATCGAACAAACTGTAGTCGGTATACAGTCGAACATTTACTATAGGTATATTTCCTTAGCTCTGACATAGGTTAAGCGTATGTGTAAACTGATACCAATTAAAAAATCTGCCAAGGATCGTATGTTGAATTTTTGTCCATTGTTGCTGTCCGGTGATAAAATCTGGGTCATTATGCCAATGGTAACAAATTCAAAACAGCGTCAATATACCCACATAGTTATATTAGCGTTGGCAACCCTGTAAGCTCTTTGTTTAACATTGACGTTTTGTTGTAAGGTTACGGAAGCATGACCCACTGCAGGCTAAACACTAGAGAGTTCCACTGTAGTTTTTTGTAAATACAGTAACCTCCCTTTAATGTCCTTTTGGTAATAAGAGTAGCAAAACTGGACCATGTCTCCGTTGATCAGGACCCGTATTCATGAAACCGTTCTCATGCTCAAGCATTGATGTTCTGGTTATAACTTGATGATTTGGAAAAAGATTGAAGAGCCTTCAAGCCATCGCTTTAAATGTCTTTTCAAACGTTTGACATGATTTGAGCGAGTAACAAAACAGTTGGCTTGAGCACCGAATCCATACTTGAGCATGATAACGGTTCCCTTAGTACTGACCCAGATAGATCAGTTGGTTAGAGCGACAGTACACTGAAGTCTAGGGTTCGAACCTTGGTCTAATTATGTTACTATTTTACACTCAAAACACTGTTTTCTTATTTTATCTTTATTGATTTTTTCATGCAAGTCCTATATTGTATGTGTTTTTTGTCTAATCTATCAAAGCTTTATATTCATGCCGGGGAATACATTTCCAATGCATATCGATACAGATTTTGGCAGTGGTACAGGGATCCTTAATGGCAAATGTTTAAACACACAGTTAGTAAATGGCCGAAACTTATATGACCGCATATATAAATCAAATATTTTTTAAACGAAAAACTTTGATTCACAAAATAATTGATTTTTGGTGATCAAATAATTGCAAATATTAACGGTTCTGTCATGCATTCTCAAAATAAACCTACCTGCTGAAAAAGACATTTGTAATACAGCACCACACCAATACCTTTTGGGTCAATGTTTAACTGTTGAGCACTTTGTTTCCTTGTTCAGTGTCTTTGTGTTCTCGCAACAGCGACGACCATAGATGATAGGACAGTAGTTTGAGTGCCACATTGAAGTATCACTGAAGTTTTACCCCGTTATGAGCTTGATTGACAAGATCAGCAGGTCTGAACCTTTTTTTTTTTTTTTTTTTTTTGATAAGGACCCTTGTCCCGATGAATGCAAACGTGAAAGAAGTCCTGTGTAGTTGTTCATACAAATAAGAATCTTCTCTTATTTTCGTTTCTGATAAACGGTTTTGTTTTTTTTATTTCATTTTCTTTTCAAATTTTTATAACTTTTATTATTATTTTTTATAAATATTGCGGGAGATACGGGTTTCCTTTTCAAATACCAATCATGTCTTCATGACGGTAGAAAATGTTTCAAGTTAATAGTTACACACAGTTTTTGGCAATGTTACGGGAATTCCGTAAGGTGTTTTAATACATTTACATAACTGTATCTTAGGAACCTGACACAAGAATATAATTACAGTTGTTTGATGTAGTGTATCTTCTTTTTGGCATAATGTATCTATTATTAAATTGTATAGACATAATCATGTGTGTCCCTTTCTTTTCACCTTTTAGCATTAACAATGAGTCGTAGAAGGGCGAAACAATTGTATTATAAAGTGTAATTGTACCAAAATGTTCGTTTATTTCCCTTACACCGGTAGTGTATTTTAATGTACCCGGAACTGTAATACCGGTGGTTTATTTCCCTTACACCGGGAGTGTATTTTATTGTACCCGGTACTGTTATACCGGTGGTTTATATCCCTTACACCGGTAGTGTATTTTATTGTACTCGGTACTGTTATACCGTTGGTTTATTTCCCTTACACCGGTAGTATATTTTATTGTACCCGGTACTGTAATACCGGTGGTTTATTTCCCTTACACCGGGAGTGTATTTTATTGTACCCGGTACTGTAATGCCGGTGGTTTATTTCCCTTACACCGGTAGTGTATTTTATTGTACCCGGTACTGTAATACCGGTGGTTTATTTCCCTTACACCGGGAGTGTATTTCATTGTACCCGGTACTGTAATGCCGGTGGTTTATTCTCTATATAAGGTCAAATTCGTTTTCATACGTCTTCCTGTTGGTGTTTCTTACTATATGTTGTATAAAATGTAATTTTGAACCCTCATATTACTAGGATTGTTTTGAGGAACTCCTTGTATTGATTTGTGCTAACTGTGAGGACATCAGGTATTCTTGTATTTAAATTATATGTAGAACTAATTTTGAGGGATGTAAGTTTGTTTATAAAGTCATTTTTGGTTACTGTATTTATCACCAATCACCTGAACGTGTGTGTTACGTCCCTCTGTCACTTAAGCACTTGTTAGCTAGGCTTGAAATACTAACATTATTCTAGTGTTTAATGTTTTATTAGTACTAAGTACGTGAATTATTTATGTAACCATTTTTTTTTTATTTCAGGTTATCTTTTTTGTGGAGAATACCTAATATGTGCGTTGGAAATGTCAGCCAAAATGTAACACACGACCGTCAACAGTTGTGTCCTTTCGAACGGAATTAATACGTATCAACATGGCCTTCGCCAATTCTAAGATGTGTATTTTCTTTGCCCTGTTTGGAGTGTTGCTTACAGTGGATTTAGCTGTTTCACAAGCAAGTAAGTACACAAATCTTATTTTTCATTCGTTTTACTCTCAAATGTGTCAACGACGGTATTATAATCATTTACATTCCTGATAAGGTACGAAAACTAAAAGAAACAGTGACAACAGGAGGCACGGTAGTCTAGTGGTAGGACCCCGGGCTCGTGACCATTACCATATTTTGAAATGAAACGAGTGTCCTCTGATCATACTGATAAAGAAAATAGTTATGAAACATTCATATAAAAAGGCTTTAAATGTAGTGTACGGTTGTCTATTTGGAATTTCTTTCACCAATCAGCAAAAGGATATATAAAGATAATATGTTTTATGTGTTGTAATGGATACAGTACACACCATTAAATGATAGTCGAATGATAAATACCTTGGTACCTATCCATGAAACCATTATCATGCTCAATCTAAGATTCTGTGCTCAAACCCGTTTCATATTCATGGAGAAATAAATAAAAACTAACATTTTGTCAGTGATTTGAAATACTTTTGGAGAGATTTAAAGCTGAATACCGTCTTCTAAGCTTACACAAGACTTTTTGATTTCAGCGAGTTACAACAAAATCAGATTCAGCACACAATCTATGCTTGAGCACGAAAACAGTTTCATGAATTCATGAATACATGCATCCTGATCTCAATTGTTGTGCGAGTTAACGCTGTCATCCCTTTTGCTGTGGTGCCATTCATTTCCTGCTGGTGTCCTGTCAGTATTGTGTATTGACAACGTTGTACTGTTTTACTATTTTACTATTTTACCTTTCGTTGTTTTACTTATTACTCTCATTTTTTGCAGATATGCCGGGAGATCCGGTGATTACAAACTTTGTACCAAAGCCGACCCTCAATACAGTAATGACCTTGACCTGTACGTCTGCAGCAGCAAGTTCGTCAGTGCCGCAAATAACCATACAGTGGCTCCTTAACGATAATTTTCTCGGCGGGGATGTTCAGAGTACCGCCAATCTGGTTACGACTAGCACAATCGCCATTCCAATAACTGCACGCGATATGGTAAATGACGAAATAAAGTGCGAGGCAGTAAACAGTGTAGGCAGGACAGAAACTTCGGTAATCATCGTCGATGTTCAACGTAAGTTTAACCATATCTCGACACTTAAGGATGTATTCCTCTGGTGTTTAAATCAAGTTCAAATCTCGTCATGATCTCGTGTAACGAGTTTTTGTTATATTTAACAAATTATGATTAATTTCAATTGTAACACGTATCTAATTTTTTTCCCAAAAAAAGATGCCTGTTGTTTGTAGAACTTTTTTCTTGAAAATATATATAGAAGCTGAAGAACAATTTTCTGGTTAGAGTAGCTTCCCCTGACAAGTCATTATTTGTTTAAATGTTTAATTCTTTCGATAAGCTTTACAGCCCGTAAATAGGACATACATTTTGATGATATACATTTACAATTCCTTGTTGACAGCATATGTTAAGTTCCCTATGATATGCTGTGCCCTTTCGCTCATCGTTAAATTTGGACAAATTGTTTCGAGTTATGCCTCTTATTCTATAACTTCTCGTCCAGAATTTCGTGTGTACAAAGGTATTCTATGGCTTCCCTTAGCCAGCAATGTCAATAGCTATAGGCCTAAAGGTTATGCCCAAACACCACTGATTGCACCTCCCTTAACACTATGGAATTATTCCCCCTGTTGTCTATGTGAACAAGTGTCCAGTTTAGGCAGTGGTCAAGGCTCATCTGGTCTTTGTTTTACCATCGTTACCTGGTCTTGCACTGTGATGGACCAGTGTTGTTCGGATGTGTAGCGACCTACCCTTTCAGAAGGGAGTTGGATGATACCATCTGAGGGAGTATTGTAGTAATAATATATAGAGGCTAATCAATAGAGGTAGAGTCTATTTTCGTTGTTACCTATAAAATGTAGTAATTCCAAGAAAACTGTCTCCTTTGAAACATTTTTTTATGGGGCAGAAACTTCAGTTAATTCGGACTAACCAATATGACAGAAAAGCGGATAAAACCTTCATTTCGATTCCCAAGCGCGAACAATTTGTAGCTAAGTGTAGTTTTACTTTTTTCTAGTTTGGGCAACACTCAAAATAAATACCTATATCTCCCTGTTTTGATTGTATCATCTTCTAAATAGAAGGGAGAAGTATAAAAGAAAAAAACTTGTATGAACTTTTTTGCGATTATAACCGATTCAGTGATACCCTTTATTTTAAACAACGTTAAGTGTTCTTAGTCATTTATTATTGTTACAGTAAAAAAAAAACGTGTAATTAGCGCACCTATGCAATTTGCGCAGGTATTTTTTGGGTTGAAAAAAAAATGCGTAAATTACATGAGTTTTTACGGTACATCGCTTACACTTATATTATCTATAATGTATGATATGTAAGCATGGTTTTTATTTTAGTTAAGCTTTATATATATATATATCTACATATTTCTACATATGTAACTTTCTACGACTAAGCATCTTGATCAATTGTGAAGGCGAGATTTGTTACAGATTTGATTTAAACGTATTCATTTGAACAAATACAAATGGGATTAGGCCCAAGTTAAACAAATACAATTCGTCTTTCTCTCTTGTTACAGAAAAACCCACCGTCACGGCGATTACTCCGGCTGCAGCCTTCTTCGATACAGGGACAATGGGAACCTGGACTCTGAACATAAGCGACGCTTACCCTGGTCTGATTCTGTCAACGACGCCAAGGTGGTACATTGATGACACCCAGACGTTTCAATTTTCCACAAGCACCTCTGTCGACGCCGTCGCAAAGACGTATAGCTACACGTCCACCTTGACCCGATCCCTGAACCCCTCAGATCACAATCTGATTATCAAGTGTGAAATCGATCACCCAACTTTCGACTCGGGTATTGAAACGAGGTTCCGATCTATGATTGTCAGATGTAAGTTTGATGAATGTAAAAATAAAACAATTCCAGATACAGTCAGACCTTCTCATGCAACCATCTTTTTTAAGAGACCACCTGTGTTAAGAGACAGTTTTCTGACCCTCTCTGGGGGTTCCCTAATAACGTTTTGACTGTTTGACTATTGCGTATTCTCAAACATTTAGATGTATTTATATCACAACTGCAAAACGGGGCCGCGGTAGTTAACACTCCACCACTGGGTTGCGGGTTAGATGCCTATGTGGTGCAATCGTCAGGTACCAGCTGCAGGTCGTTGTTTTCTCTTCATGTACTCTGGTTTCCTCCACCACCAAAACCTGACACGTCCTTAAATGTTTAAAGCTGTTAATAGAATGCAACACACAAACAAACCAAACTCTTTCTACAAATCTTTTAAAGATCCTCCGTACCACTGCCAAAACTGTAACAAATTATTGGAAATGTGTTTTCGGCATGACTAAAACTTTGATATATCATTTATGAAAGAAAACGATACCTCCCGGGACTTTTATGAAAAAATAATGAAAATGAAATAAACAAACCTTTATCAACAGTAGTGTTCTGAATGTAAAAATAATCGGTGTGCTTATGCCTGGATTCGAACCCTGGACCGGAAACTGTTTAACAACCTTCTGACCGATTGGGTTTCCTAGTCAACGGAAGTGTACGGGCTAAAATAGGTTACTGTGATATCCAAACGGAAGTTAAGGTGGGGGTACTATTTAAACTATAGTGCAGTGGGCCAGTGATCCTTTATTATTATTTCTGTATATAAATAACAAACTATAATAGTTTTACTTTATCAAATGTTGAAAATGCATTGTACATTTGCAGACCCTCCTGGACATCCACAAATCACGACAAACTTCATTAACGGAGTTAACGAGAATACAATCCTGGAAGGTAACTGCTCATCTCGAGGTGGATATCCTACTCCGATCGTCGCTTGGTCTGGGACCGCCTTTGACGTCACTTCCTCCTACACATCGGGATCGGACCTTTACGTCACCCAGTTCCGGTTAACCGCTGTCGTCGGTTTAATTGGCCAGACATTCACTTGTACAACTCAGAATGCTGTGGGAACATACTCAGCGACAGCAACCCTACCACAGGTTTTCGGTAAGATTTGGAATAGTAATTAAATCTCTACTAATTCCACTCACAAATTGCACGAAAAGTTTTATATTAAAGATATGTGTGATAGGTGATTTGACGAGTATCTCGTCAGAATCGCTAGGCTAACCACCAATGGACTGGTAGAGAGTTTTGGTCGAGTTTGATTCTAACTTTGCAGCTTAGGTGTTCATTGTAACATTTAAAGAATAAATTATTTTACTGTATAAAACATTTCCACCTAAGCTGTAACATTAATTAGAATATTTTAGTTTAATGGACAAGCTAGCGTCACATGTAACAACACGGTTTAATTCTGGGGCTGCTATTAACATTTGGAAGGCATATCTTGATTCACAGGGAATTATAAACTACAAAATGGGATAACTTCATAGAACTCTGATGGAATAATGTATGTATCTTATTTCCCTATGAACCAATATTCTAGTACTACAATGCTATTTATCGTCACTTTTTACGTACATTTTTTGTAAATACCATCTAGTATAGTATCAAGGTTAGAACAATAACACCACAAGTCAACAATATTTGCATTGTTGTCGTTATCAAAAGATGACTACGTCACTTCTATCGATGTTTAGGTAATTGTTTACAGCCATCAATTGACGATTTTTGCAACAATATCTTTTTTATATATCAGTTTGCTCCCTTTTTCAAATAAATATCTTTTTATAAAAATAACTGAAAAAACACCCATGCCTTACATTAAACGTTTTTTGTCGATGTTAGTTTAATTACTTATTACTTTATGTCCTACGTAGAGTAAAAGTGTGTAATACCTGATATGAGATAATTTTAGAAATATTGTCCGTATCCGACCAGTGCAATAATATATAGGAATAAATATCATATTTACATGTTCATTTTATTAATGTAGATGAACGAACGAGCGTTCAGGTAACGAAAAATGTTCGAATGAAGGACTTTAAATAATTCACCCCACAAATTTCACAATAAACTTTTGAATTGGAACAGTTTAAATGTGCCTTCAGGAGTAAATGAGTTAAAGTTGTCATAGCACATCAACCACATGCATAATAGGAAGTAAGATTAGCACGAATTAATAAACGGATTCAGCTTATGTGTCGTTTCAAATTCAAAAGAAATAAAATGATATAGAAGAATAAGAACTAAAACAAAATTCATCAAAGTAACAGTTAAGCGTCCACGGAATATATTCATTAATGCTCATTGTGAATGTGAATGAAATGTGGAATTAAAATCTTGTTTAAAGTAAGTGACACGGAACCACGTATAAAACAGGCAATAGTTGTAAGTTATTAATCAAAATACATTGCTCCATCATGGTTGGTTCTTATTAGCACTTGATGAACTAACGTGTCATTTCGCTATACAAGTGATATACAAATTTGTGCTATAGCTTATCATAGATATCACGTGATGTCCTCGGTAAAATTTCTGTTGACATGTGACGTAAGCGCTAAGTGTTGGTATGTGCATGTCGACTAATCCAATTGCTTTTCAGCACATACCTTTTCGTTTGAACTGTAACAGTGGCATTTGCTAGTTTTATTTTATGAATAGTTTAAAATTCATAAAAAAAAGAATAAATTAAATTAAGGTTTACATTTACATTAAAAATAAAACAGGCAGAGTTTCCACTTAATTAAACTAGTGAAATATTAAATATTGAACTACATTTAGATTTTGAATCTAAAAAACCACCTAAGGTCTGCCATATATTTTTTTTTTATTTTTTTTTTGTTTATTTGAAACACTGTCGGAGTTTCAGTACTTAATTATCACATAAATAAGGTTAATTTAGTTTGAGCTGACAAGTGTGCATCTAAAATTGCTTTACGGTCACTATGAAGTATTAATATGCCACATGATCAGTTTTCATTCGTTGGTAACCAAATAAAGTAATGTCTTTTTATAAAATTCCATGTTCACTTCTTCGTGGATAAATGCTCAAAATAACATCTTGGGTGTTGTTATTGAAAATGAAATCTTCTTTAAAACGCTAAAGCAGCCATACAACTAAGTGCGTTTACGATACTTTAATAAGCAACAACAGAGTTCATTACAGAAATGAAAGTGTGTGCTGGAAAGTGAATTGGACATTAAGTCTGGTTGTCCAAACCCCTTCATCATTTCCACTTACGAATTATTTTGTCTAAACTTCTGCATGCTTTAGCACTTAAAAACTTTAGATTGAAGTTCTTTTTAACTACCGAAATTACGTGAGTGTGTCTGTGTAGATTTACTGATTTTGTGCATGTGCGTTTTGTTGTAGTCATTGTCATTGTCATCCTCATCCTCAAAACATTATCATCTACATCCCATAGTTAAGATTTTTTTTTTTTAACACAACAGAAATATTTCTATTGTTATTGAAACCATTGTTTACTATTCGACGACGTAACAGGAAATGAATCACCAGACAAAAAACTGTCTCAAACGGCATTTGCGTCTTCAACAAACGGAATGATATATTCATTAAATTATTAACCTGTCCGTAAGTTAGAAAAATGTTTAAAGTGGGCAGATCGTGCAACCGCTATGATTTTAACTCCGCTGGAAGATCATTATTGCAGAAGAAAAGGTAAGTTAAATGAATTTTCTTGCTTGAAAGGTTTAAGTGGCTTTTCCGCGTGTCATGTTCATGCTAAATGTTAACGCGTTTGGTTTGTATTTGAGAGTATCTTTCAATTTTTAGACATATTATTAGAAGTTAGGTACATAAAAGTATATCTAAAACAAAACAAAACAAATAAATACTCATCGGTACTTTGTCACTGTCGAAATGGTTTGTTAGACTGCTTAGCAAGTGTGCCAACACCAATGAACTACCTCCTTCCTCGTCCTGACTTCATGTGAGGGATATTCACACCTTCTACATTGTACAGGATTTTTATATTTCCTTTTCCACACGCGAAAAAAGGACCTTTTATCGTTTGAATTCACCGAAAGGCTGTTGTGTCAGCTGCTTTAAAAATAAAACTTCTTGTTACCATTATCTTATTTATACATTTATTTGTGTGCTACATTTGTTTTGAGTATAATTAATTACATGTATATGAATTTGCGTGTCATAACCGACTTTCATAACGTGAATTGTTATTTCGAAGCTTTTTCCATTTCCAGATACGCGTATACGTCAAGCTGGTTTTTATACATTATATGGATTAATGACATAGGTACATGGGGTCCTTAGTTCTTGGAAGATTTCATATGTCTTTAGTTTTAGGCGCAAGGGATATGCAATCCAGACTATTATAGGACCCATTTCTACTCGCATAATATTTAATAATAAGATTTTGTCCTACTATGATTTTCATTCTTCATCGAACAAAAAAAATCAAAAATCAAACTATCTTCCGTTATCTGCCAAAAACGCTTATCTGATATAATAAACTGTTCATAGTTTTTGGATGTGCATTCCGTCGATGAATAGCACCTATCATCCCAACATTATTTTAAACATTGTAAACAAATAGTTTCAAATTCTGCCTAGAAATATAGCAATATCTTCAAATCTTAAAATATACCATGTTGTTTAGATAGTTTCCTTCCCACACTTTGCATAAATTAGCACAACATAGAATGAAAATCCAAACATGTACAAACATTTATCTCAGTACTGAGACGATATTTTAAAGATGAACGTCACACCAACAGGCGACTGCACATTTAAAATTTGGTAATAGATACAGTATGCTCAAAAGGAACTTCACTGCATCGCATGGCTGTTTCGCCCTTCTTTAACAAACTGGTGATGCTAGAGACAGAAAATTTGGATTTCCAAATTGTCGAAACTACTGTAGAAACGGAGGGACAGGTGTGTAAATTCGCTTAGTTTATTAATTTAATAATTAAGAGGCGTACAAGTTAATTTCAAAAGAAATAATTAATAAGGTGTGTTTATCATGAACGTGTCACTACTGGGAAGAGGTAAATGTGGCCATAAAGGTTACCGCAAACCTAGGAGAATAAAAATCCACAAGCACAATCTACCATCCTGTATCTTAAAAGATAAACAACACACACACACATACACACACACGCACACACACACACACACACACACACACAAACACACACAAACAATCAAAACACTATAAGTTTTAGCATGGATTGATTTTAAATCAACAATATAAAACTACATGAATTAGGAAAAATATAATCATCATGTCATTTTATTAATTAAATCACACAATTATCCCATGGGTTTTGACATTCAATATTAACAAAGTGAAAACACATTCCATTAGAGCATAGCATGACTAGTATCATAGAACTAAATGTGTCAATCTTGTTGGAAACAATATTTATTTTCTTACACTCATTTCAAACTTCAGAGGTGTTCAGTAAAGAAAACAAATAACAGAATGAATCCTCAATCGCTCGTATGGCATTTAGCATTCCCACAAGTAAAAAAGTGTCCACATGACAAAAGTAAGTTTTTGAAATCTACCAGGATCACAAAAAAGGAAAGGGAAATATTGCATTTGGAGTGAGAATGATCCGTTTGAATGTGTTATTTCAGTGCCCCCCGGGGCCATCGTCATCGAGGGATTCCAAAACGTGATAATAGAGGGCCATGTGATGAGTCTGAAATGCACGTCACAAGGAGCCCTCCCTAGCGCCTCAGTAATGTGGAATTTGCCAGATGGAAGTATTGATACAAGTTACTCCACAGAGCAGAATCAATCATGGACAAGAGCAGTTAACACTCACAACTACACAGCACGTTTCGAGGACAATGGCAAGAGCTTTAATTGCTCGGCGACGAACAGAGTGAATTCAGTATCTCAAACCACTCAGCAGTTCACCGTTCACGGTATGGAATGTTATATAAAAAAGCCGCTTGTTTTGTTTGATGCAGCGAGACGTTTTAGCAGTTTGTTCTCTAACCATGCAGAGCGCCGCCTAGTTAAGACCTGTTTGTCGTGGCATGTTATGTGTGATGCATGCCGTTATTTCATAGCGATGGAACATTTATACTGTCATTGGGTTTAACTAAACAGCTCTTTGTCGTTTTTGTTAAATATACGATGTTGACTCATCCATCTCACCAACTTATAACGTATTAATGACGTAATCAACAACAGGTGGAGGATTCACAACACTCATTAAAAGCTCCGGATAGTCATGTTCGAACACGAGCGGATTCTTCCTCTACCCTCTGGATATAACGTACGCCTATCTATGATACAGCAACTCGCATAAATAGCGTCCGGGCAATCCCAAGTCAAAACCTACGCTTAAAACAATTCTAAAAATAACAACTAACATTCTTTTGATTCAAGGTGATTATGTTTTCGATTAGTTTGTGGTTTAGTGAATCAGTCTATGTTTATATTTTGCCCTTACGCTTTCTTTGTTTAGTTCGAATTAAGGTTTGGCCGTTATTCCCTTGATGTTCTACTTTTATTACTCAGCTATTATTGTACATATGGTAAATATATTAATATCTCATTCACAGAATTAGACGATTGCAAATATCTTTAACAATGATACAAAATTAAATCATAAATATTATAAAGTGATTCTTAAATACGATTTGGAACATACTTAAAACCGCATTTTTTGGTATCTATTTAAGGATCAAAATCATACCCAAATGTTATCAAGTTATTAATTTACCTCTGGGTACTTAGCAAAACAGTCCTGCTTTCTATCATTCGGAACACCTTGTCCCGATTCAAGTTCCTTCCAATGTAGATGAACGAATCGGCCGAGAAGTTCCGAGTGGCTTTCTATGGATGTATCTATCTATTTAATTTTTAAATTTACATAAATACAATAAGTTTTGTTCGATCCAAACTTCAAGGTACCTACTCCCACTGATCCTAATAATCCTTATGCGCATGACAGGAATTCCTGGGAGTCAAATACTTGGTCATGCAAACACACAACGGTTTAATTCGTTAAACCTGGAGATTTACCCTGAATAGACGAACGAATGGCTATAAATTAAATTATTTTCTTTCCTGAAATCTCAGGACAAAAAATATAACAATGCCAATAATGCAGTGTTAAGGAAGAAAATCATAGTTTTAATATGTTCGTGCAACCCTCGAGGAAAGACGAGCTATAAAGTCAAACAACTGTTGTTGTTTTTATTATTCGTAAGGACTTTCATGGTGTTTTCTGTATTTATTTGTTGACGTTTTTTTATATATATATAAATACTTTAATTTGGCATCTTAACAGCATTGTATTCAATAAATTGCGACAAGCATTGTATTCATAAGTATGTATTTACATTAATTGTATATCAATTCCCTTCGTTTCAGTTAATTTTGAACATGAACTCTTCTAATGTTCGCTTCCTGTTAACATTTGTTCAGTATAATCAGATGATAGTGTTAAAGGGTCGGTAATAAAAGTTGTATACATAATGCTTGGAGGCTACCACAGTTAATCGAGTATTAGTTATAAAAGCGATAAAAAGAAGAGGTGAAGAAAAAAAATGGCAAACCAAACATTTGCTTTGTTTCATTCTCCTAGCGATATATATATATATAATAATCCGGAATCATCAGAAAAAAACTTACCTCCAAATTTATTGAAACTAAAACGAAGTATTAATTATGTATGTTTGTGTCCCATTTACTTTGCTTTTATTTTTACTTTTGCTTAGTGTAACGGTTAGAGATACATGTGTCGTAACCAAAGAAATACTCAATTAGATTTGGCTGGGAACAGTTAGAAATACTCCTTTCTAAACAAAATTTTATAACAATAAATAACCCAAAAGAAACAGATACACAACTAGCACATGCTTGTCATAAGCACGTATCTATATGAATATAAACTTTATTTACTTTACAACAATTATCATACATATTATTTCAACTTACCTGAATCACTCACGTTGGCCCGAAAGTTAGTGAATCTCTTTATGTGGGAGCAAACTGGCGTTCCCGGAGAAAATAGTAACCTATTTTGGCTATACATAAACTCTGGGGAGGCTATGGAAGATTCCTAACGTTGACGATCATTAAATGATGTGGGTTTCTCTAAAGGAAAATCTTAGAGTTATTAAAATGCATCACCGAATATACTACTGCTTCATCTGTTATTCAACTCTCGTTTTGCACTTTCTTAACAAAAGATAATTTACTTTATTTATCTGATTTAATTTACAAACAAAAATAATACGTAACATACTATTGAAAAAATGATATAAAAAACCTAAAACCAAACACTTAATTTTGAAATAATTTTTTCTTTAATAATATGAATTAACTTCCTTTTGTGTATATTATGTTGCTCATTGCAATTTAGTTACTGTTTTGTGAGAAAAGAAATATTTTTTTCCCAAACAAAAGAAACCTGTATCATTCCTGTCCAATGCTGTCTTTGCTTCAAGCTTTTGTTTTGGCATTGAGCTTCGATTCTTCCTAACTTTACCCCTTTGGGAAAATACCACCAAATTTTACTTTTACTTTAATGATTTCGGAGTTTTCTTTTTAAAACCATAAATATTTCAAGGAGGAATTACGTGAAATATTTTAAAGGAAGTTTTTTTAAATTCCTTTTCAGATTAAATGAAATAAGTAGTATGATTACAGATAGGGGTTCGCTGTTTTATAAGCAAATAAAAAAGCATGGCTTGAGCCTAAATTGTTTGCGTCTTTTTACAAAATCTGCAGTATCGCTCGGCGACAATGTTTATATTGTTGCATGGTATTTGTGTCTATTTTTAAATAAAAACATTTTAGTTCAGCCAGCTGTTCCTAGTTTGGCTGGGCCCAGCGAAGTCTACGAGGGGACTGCAGTCAATTTTACTTGTAAGGCCACTAGGACGAACCCTGCAGCCAGCCTGTTTTGGTTAATAAGCACCACTCCAATGGCGGCGTCTTACCCGGTGACGTCATCAACAAATGGTGATGGTACAACAAGAACCAGTTCGACGATAAACATAGTGCCTACGGCCCAACTCAACGCCACTGTTCTGACATGTGAAGCTGCACATGTTACTCTGCCTTCAAACCTGAAAACCAGCATCACCATCATCGTAAGGTGTAAGTACTATCTATATGTGTATACTGCAGCGCCCTCTGGATCTCTCGAGTACTGTCGAGTCAGTGCAGGTTATTAAAAGTGTCCTGCCGGTGCTTCGGTGCTGGGCTAATGGGGAGGTAATATCATTGGAAGAAAAAAAGTGAGAGTGGTGCGCATAATATTATAGCTATTTTCTAATTTGGACAGTTGTGAACCTCTCAGAATTCTGTCAAATTATCGCGATAACATACGCAGCTCGCAAATAACAGAACCCTTCGCATTAAGGTCATGATTACAAAGGTGAACGGCAAAAGTTACACTTGATGTTTACAACTTCACTTCGGAATACAAACAAAAAGCTCGAACAGGTTATTTGATTATTTTGTTAAACTTAATAGTCTAGATACAAATCCTCCTGTGGTGGTAGTCACATTTCCTCGCGCCATTAAACATGGCAAATTAGATAATATAAGAAGAATACTATAGCGCAGCCCTACAAGTCGATACAAAATATTGCAAAATTGTTTCCTATTGCAGCTGTAGTTTGAAGAACCCTGTAATGGTCCCTCGTATAACCCATTATAATAATGTCATTCCGCTTAATGAGGTTTTCCCTCAAAAGAATTACGCATGATTATTGATTGACATGTGAAGATGCGTGTTACACATCTTATAAACAATTGACGCCGTGACTTTTGATAAGTAGAGATACCTTGGGATACAGCATTTGCTCTATTTCATGGGTTGTAATGAAGTTGGTGAAAGAGATGTTTACGTGATACTCCACAAGAGTTTAAGGGCAAAGTCGATATTTTCGGTAAAACGACCGCTGTGTGGTTTGCCCCAGAATTATATCAGCCGTCAAGCAAATTAGAGTGTAGCCATCATAAACATATCCTCGATACTCCAGGGTTTACGCTCACTTTCGCTCTCTGCACCCCTAGAATATGCCATAGCAAAATTGAAGGCACAAATGTAGCTATTTGATTGGTTTCAGGTAAAAACACCTGACCAATCGCTAGGCTAGTACCTGTCCTTTGAAGATTACAAAGGAGCGACACCCAACTTTGAAGTCAGTCAATTTTTACCGTTACGCGACTGCGAGATTCTTTTGATGTACATCAAATATATTGTCTTCATCATCATCATCATCATCATATCATCATCATCATCATCATCATCATCATCATCATCCTCTACAATGTATGATCATCATATTCATATACCATCATCATCATCATCATCATCATCATCATATCATCATCATCATCTACAATGTATCAATCATCATCATCATCATCATTAAATTCTCACCAGAGAGCACCAATTTAATTTGTGTTACTAAGAAACCAAACAAAGTAAATGTTTTGCTGCACCATATGACCATTTTGGCAAATGCATTTATGTATTTATCATCGTTCTCTGGCTGGTTGAAAGTCACTTTATTTTATTTTTTTCCTCCAGTGAAGCCCTCCATTGTTCTGGCGTCACCATCTTCTGAAAATGTACTAATAGCTTCCGTCCACTCAATTGATTGTGACGTCACTTCCAGTATAGAATTTAACATTACATGGTGGCATGTGTCATTGTCTGGTGTTACTCAGATGTTAACGGCGGTAAACTCTAAATACATAATGTGGACTAAAACATCAACAATACGAACCCTCTCCATCCAAAACTACCAGAGTTCAGACGACGGAAGCTATTATGCAATTGCAGCTAACCAAGCCGGATTGTCTCCGCCCAGTGCCATCGCCCGAACCACAGGATATGGTATGTAACAAACTAAGTATCACCGGATTATCTTCCATTGATTTATAATATATTTTCACATCTTCGGGCTTTTCCGGCAAGTGCCGAAAAAGCACGAGTTATTCCGGAAAGATCCGAGTACGGGAAATTGAATGCATATTACAAACAACATACATTGTAGTTTTGATATCAAAATTAAGCACAGCTAATTTTTAAAATAACACTTAAAAAAAACTCCGTACGTAATATTTAGCAAAATTGTAAATGTGTCTCACATTTCACAACAGAGGTAACAATGTATAGGACATTTTAAATTTAACTAAGACAAAATTTAACATCAATTTCGTACAAAACATAACTTACAACAGATAGTCTTTGACTGATTATAGTTGATCAGACAAGAACTAGGTACTTCTTGGGGAAAGAAGAATTGTTCATTTGAATTCACGGATTGATTTTGTGCAAAGTGAATGAAAAAAAAAAGGAAAATGAAAAGAATGTATATATCGTGATATTGCATATTTCATATAAAAATTTAATCATGAAATTTTTTGTTATCTAAACAGCGATACCTGTAAAACCCTTCATCAACCTTGACACGTTCAACTTTTACCCAGTGGTCGGTGCTAATGTTGTGATGAACTGCTCGTCGACTGGGGGAGTACCTATCACTATGATAAAATGGTACCGCAATAACGTAGCGGTAGACACGACATCCATTACGTCTAACGTCAACGGGGTCGACGTAACGTACAACGAATACACCCGCTCCGTAGTCTTCGACGACAAAGGGGCAATCTTTAAATGCGAGGCAAGCAATGCCTTCGGAAACACCTCTTCTGTTACTTCATTCGTTGATGTATATGGTAAGATATTTTACAATCTTGTGTGTGGATTTACCTAATGGCTTTTTCTGTTTTGTGTGGCTTGCTAATATATATTTTTATTTAAGAGCTTGTTTGTTTACTGTTGAATGGTGAACACTAATCTGACAAAAACTACTTTTTTTGGAAGGGGTTAATTTTACTTTTTTCGGTCTGAAAATAAAATGTGCGAAATGGATCCTCACAAATTCACTGATAAAGAGTTTATAAGGATTGGTAATTGGTAAACATGTTCAGGGAAAGCCAAACTCAATGAATTTATTCTAAAAGAAAAAACTGAGTTTTGATATCGTAAAAATAAAACGATATTCAGGATTAAGAAAGAATTGTGTGTTCTTTGTCAGATTTATGTTAACTCTTCTTAAGTCAAATTATGTATATAGTTATGTTTACTTTGCGTCCCGTATACATAAAATGTCTTTGTTTAACGACATAATGTTAATATATAACTCTTATACTTACTTGTCATCAAAATAGTAAGTAATTTCCACATAACCGAATGATTTAAAAAGTGATTTCAAAGCCCATACTTTTCTAACTAAACGATATCATATTTTACTCTTAGAATCTATACAAAACATAAATCCATGATGAGCATTTAACTTGTTAAAGCCAAATTAAGTAAAAAAAAAAAAAAAAAAAAAAAAAAAAAAAAAAAAAAAAAAAAAAAAAAAAAAAAAAAAAAAAAAAAAAAAAAAAAAAAAAAAAAAAAAAAAAAAAAAAAAAAAAAAAAAAAAAAAAAAAAAAAAAAAAAAAAAAAAAAAAAAAAAAAAAAAAAAAAAAAAAAAAAAAAAAAAAAAAAAAAAAAAAAAAAAAAAAAAAAAAAAAAAAAAAAAAAAAAAAAAAAAAAAAAAAAAAAAAAAAAAAAAAAAAAAAAAAAAAAAAAAAAAAAAAAAAAAAAAAAAAAAAAAAAAAAAAAAAAAAAAAAAGGAAACCACTGTAAAAGATATACCAAAGATGTTATTCTCTCCATTGCCTTCATATCTCAAACATGACCTTATTAGGGTTTGTATTGTTAAACGTTATAAAGTTTGACATTGATATACTTATTCATATTATTTCCGATTATGTTTTTCTCAAATATTTTTTTCAATTATTTTCATATCAGCATGATTTACCTCTCTGACACCGATCTAAATATACTATATTGCCATGCCTGAATTGAAAATAAATACTAAAACATTATATTTTGTTCGTGTTATTTTTATCATGATGCGTTGTGCCTACATTATTAATTAAAGTTCGTTCTTTCTACGAAATGTCAAGAGTGTTTTTCGTCTCTGCTCTGCATAACCGTCTATGCTGGGGTGACGTAAGCGAGAAATTTCGGATACATTATCCTTCTTTGATTGGAAGACACCGCGGACCTAACGCACACAGCAGACAAAGTGAACATTCCTAGGTAATTATAGATAATACTAAAACAGAAAAAAAACATGGCAGGTACCATTCATGGTGCAGGAAGTCGACTTCCGGTTTTTGTTCGTTTTTTTGTTTCTTTGTTGGATTGTTTGTTTATTTGTTGTTTGTTTTTTTTTGCGGTATTTTTGATATTGCGATCTTGTTTTTGTGTTTTGACACAACGATATGAATATTACAAAACGAAAACCTGGCTCATTGATTTTTTGTTTCACTGTAGATACCACTAATGTCAAGGAAAGTGAAAATTTTAAACAGGTAGGTAGACCATCATTATTATTTTTTTACAGAATGAATCTGAAGCAAAGTAAAACATTCCTTAAAAAATGCGGATAAATAAAATAAATCTTAGTATATCGTAACTATATTAAAATGAATATCATACTAACTTTTATAACAAATTGAAATAATAATGGAAAAAAAATATATTAAAAATAAATATGATAAAGTCAATCAAATATACAATGACGAAATGTGACCATATGGTGTAGCAATGAACAATACAAAAAAATCATATATGTGTATCATTATTTCGCATTTCTAGAAATTATTATACGATATGTTTATGATAATATCTTGCTTTTTATCTTTCACAGATTTGTATCGACCTTAGACTCGCCGGGAACTTTCTAGAAACACTAATAAGCTTCGTGTTTTAAACAGGTGCTCATTTTGATTGTAATGGCTTTGGACACTTTGGATATTTTGTTCGTTCTTACTGTTGCATGTGGTCTGTGAACATTATCTTTGCACATTAGAAAATGAATACAATTTTCTTTTCTTTTTGTTACAAAATGAAATAGTAGTGTTTGCATGGATTTGCATTTTGCACGCGCGGCCTCCGATCAGGATATAAATAACATATAAATAAAACGCCAGCGTACATTCCCGTTTTAAAATACGGATTGGCAATATGGAAATATCGTAGGGTATATTACAGCTATGTGTTTTTGTATTAATTTAATGCTTACTAGGGGTGTATTAAAATATCACAAGCCCTGATATTTTTTCACAACAGTTTGTCACACTTTTTGTAAATTAAGTTTGCAGGGTATTTTATAGAGCAATACATTTAGTGTTAAATATAAAAAAAATACACATTTCATATTTTTTTTAATAAAAATATATATATTTACAGTCATCAATATATATAATTAGCCATGATATTAAGTGTTTTTATGACGTTTCAGTAATTATATGTGTAATGTCTTGTGTATTGTATGTAATTACACTGGAAACATTTGTATGCAAATATCTATTTAATCAAACAGTGTAATTGACATACAATATCTACATAAAGGTATATTAAATGTTGTATATTACTATCCTATAAAGATTATATATAACCATGCTTTGTAAATGTTTTAACAATAGAATTATACAATATATATATATCTCTCTCTCTTTCTGCCTCTGCTCTGCTTTTACTGACCTTCTCCACCATTTAACAACCGTGTTAATTAATGTTTACCAAAAAATATTATACAATCTGGATTTATGAATAAACACAGCCCTAACCAACTTAACTAAACCGTATATTAAGAACTTGTTTACATAAACATATTTGTCAACATACTTTGTTGCATCTTTGAGATCAAAGGGTGTCTCTCTTGTGTTTACATATCTGTTCTGCACCAATGGAACATGTTGTGACAAACTCGAAGTCTTCCGGTTACCATTTTGGTTCAAGACATCACAAACTGACAATTGAAAAGTTGATAGACTGTTATACCTGCGTTCTGAAGATTAAGAAAGAGCTGTATTAATCTGTTTTAAAAACCAGACATTTTTGGCTGCTGTCAAAGGTTCTCGGTTCCCCAACCACAAAGCATTAGTCAGTCAAATTACATCGTCCACAATATGTGACCGGCGCGTACGTGGATTTCGATTTTGTCTTAACATATATTCCAAGTGTACTGAAAAATACGTAATATCGAGGGGTTAAAACTTAATTCCAATGATGACATTGTTGTTATTTTACTTTTCATAATTAAACATCTACTATTTGTAAATATAAATTACATACACATACTATTGTCGTCACAAGATTTTGTTCATAAATTGTTAAAGTGATGTGGGTTGGGTTTTTTTAAGTGTTGATATGTTAATACATAGATTATTTACCATAAATCTGTTTTTTCCTACGGAAATATATAAACTTATTAACATTTTACTGTTTTTTTGTTTTTTTTTTGTTCAGTTACACCTTCAATTCCCGTCATAACCGGGGTAGATGCCGTATTGGAAAACCACACTTACTCCTGGATATGCAGTACGTTTGCTAGCAATCCGGTTGCTATGGTTTCATGGACATATGGCGGGGAAAACGTGACGTCACAGGCTAGGATTACGCAAGAATCCAATTCACAAAAGGCTGGGACATTTAATGTAAATTCCAATCTGACGCTACACATAGACAAAGCTGATGCTGGGAAAATACTGACTTGCTTCGTCAATCACGTGACTCTACCTGTGTCACCGTTATCCACCAACCACCCACTCAATGTCTACCGTAGGTTGATAATATAAATGTTCAAGATTTGAAATTGTTACGGAAAAGAGCAAAATGAATATAACATGTGCTGGGGACGAAATGCATTATTAATGCACCACAATTTTTTTTCCCAGTGGGTATATGTTTTTCAGTTTGAAAACTTATTATCATTCATTGAGAAAATTAATTAATAAAATGATGTTTATTGCAAAAGATATTAATGGTGCACAGACTGTACTAGCCTCGTCTGTCAATACACCTTAAATATAATTATAGGTGTATTGACAGACGAGGCTAGTACCTGTAGATGATGACTAGTTTTACATTGTTGTAAAGTTTGAAATTCGCGAAAATTACTTCATCGCATAAACGTCGATCTTTTCAGTATGTTGGAAACTTGAGCAGCAATCTGTTTGAATATTCGTGTGTGTGATAACTATACTATTGAGATAATGTTCAGAAAGGCTAAATTATTTCATACCATTTTCATTTGGAATTAGCAATAGTACCGATTTTTTTCTGAAAGTATTTCTTTAGGTGGATATTTTTTTTAAATGATGACATAGTAAGGGGGGATGGTTCACTTGTCTCCCCTGGAAATTTATTTGGTAACAAGAATCATTAATGGTTTTCTTTACAGTTATTCCAACTGCTTATGTCGCAGAACAGAATAAAGAGGCGGAGATAGGTAAAATAAGTGTACTAACGTGCAATGTTGACACGCAGTTAACTGCAACGGTCACGTGGTATAAAACCGGAAGTACTTTACCTCTGCAACACAACCAAGTGAACTACGTTATAAATGACCGGACCTTGACCTTCAACCCAGTTATCCGTGAACACGAAGGCAGCTACATGTGCAGTGCCGAAAACGATGCTGGATCTTCCGGGTTAAGTGCTGCTGTTGGCTTCACCGTGTACCGTAAGTCCGCATCTTAATTTTTCTCCGTTGTGTTAGTCCTACATTAAAATTCCTCTTGCCGCCGGCTGCCCAAAACCACAGGAGTCTGAAATTCTTTAATCAAAACAGTCAAAAAACTATAATATGCTTAAAAAATGTATTTTTAAGCATATTATAGTTTTTGTTTTGTTTTACTGGAATAAAGTTTTGACAGAATTTCAAACTCCCGACTCCAGTGCAAATCCACAGGAGTCTGAAATTCGGTCAAAAAAGTTAATTGTAACAGTTATACAAAAACGAATCTAAAGTATACTTTCAAAATCTATTTTAAGCATATAACAGGGGATTATTTGTATTTTTTACAAAGTTTCTGACTCCTGTACATGTGCCAAACAACAGCAGAATATTACTCGCATGAAATTGGTTTTAATCAATCATTTCTGAAACAATTTATGATCACAGGGGTCAAATGATTAAAATCTTCTAATAAATACTACTGAATAACAAAGAGGCCTAAAGAGTCAGCGTTTTCGTTCTGGATTTGCCCAGAAGCATGTTTGGATAAAGTTAGAGTGACAGTTACAAGTTTGTTCATATGAATGACCTTGATACACTTTCAAGGTCATGGGGTTAAAAAATGTGTCAAACATTCTTTCAATGTCACAGATATCAAAATGAGTCATAATTTAACGCTCAACCAATTTATCCTGAATAACCAAGAGACCCAATATTTAATTCTATTTATCCAGTTATAATAAGCCCGAGTTTCCTCTGGCCCCGACACCAGACTTAGACATTTTGACAGTAATATGACAGGTGTGGGGCCAGAGCACACTGCTTCATGTATATGAAANTTATATGACAGGTGTGGGGCCAGAGCACACTGCTTCATGTATATGAAAACCTGGAATTCTCCAACACCATTTGGTATCTGGGAGTTTTGAGTTGCTGTTTACGAAAATCTACTATGACACAACACATACTTCACATATATTGATAAATGGTTTGTTTATTGATCCAAATCAGCTCTTATTATCACCAACAGCTGCTAAATTCCGTCAGTAGAGTTCTCGATGTTCAATCGTTTTAAATTTCCCACCTCAGCGAACGCCATTTTTTGTTGGTCATGAGGTGACTAATCAACAAACCATACTGATCCGGACCGAAAACAGAATATATTACTCTTGTTTAGAAGATTTGCAGACCGCGTCTTTTTGTTGTTTAGTCACTCCCCAATACCAAACGGTGTCGGAGAATTCCACGTTTTCATATAGGCACGCGCTCTGGCCCCACACCAGACATCTATCTTTGAAAATGTCTAAGTCTGGTGTCAGGGTCAGAGGAAATTGGGATATTTTCCAGTAACATGGTTGGATAAAGACCTACCCAAAGTAGGACTTTATCTATATATATGAATCCCTTTATCAAATGAATCTCAAGGTAAGGTCAGGTTCAATTTGCTTAAACAACTTCTTCTGAATGAGCAAATGTAGAGGCATGCTTGAATGAAATGAAGGGCTATTGCTTTTTGTTCAGATGAACAACCTTGACCTTCTTTCAAGGTCACATGGATTAAATGTTTTAGCGTTTGAGTACTTTGTTCTGAATCACCAAGAGACCTAAGATTATGCTATTTATCCAGTAGCATAGTTGTATAAAGATCTACCAAGGTTTTTCAATTAAATGCGCTTATTTCTAATGAACTTAATTAAGTCATAGCATTCTTGGATGAATGGCGATCATTTTTTATAGTAACATACTGGGGAAAAAGGACATTCAAATTTGTTTTAATGTATGACATTGACTCTCCTTGAAGGTCACATCAGCTAAATGTGTAAAAACATTTGAATAACTTCCAATGAATTACCAAGAGTCACGTTATTTTACTACAGTATATAGGTAGTAGCATGCTAGCTGAGATGAAGGATATCTGGTTTGTTCAAATAAATGAACTTCATCCTTTTTCAAGGTCACGTGAGTTTCATAAGTCAAAAACGTCAAAATGAAAAGGTGAAGAATGATAGAATAAACCTACAAAGACGTACTTACCAACTTTTGAAATTTAAATGGGGGAGATTCTGCATGCTCAAAATCAAAACTTGAATCAAATGTGTATGCCTAAAAGACAAAATAACCCTTTAAATGACAGATTTTGAGTTCCCTGCTCTTCCAGATGCAAATCATTTTGCATCGACCAACTTTGAAGTTCAAAGCTGCAAGATAAATAACAGGGGAGTGGTACTGGCCCATTGGGCCTCTTATAGGTATTGTTCGTCTCTTGATTATATATATATGTTACTTGGTAAATGTCATAAAATAAAAAATAAATAAAAAATAAAAAAAATTGTAATTTGTAGAACTTCCAAGCGTCCCTGTCATTACGATGTTTCCAGTCACGGGTATTGAAGGGGAGTTAAGTATCATCAACGCTACGTCATCTGGTGGTTACCCTGTACCAACTCTGACGTGGACAAGAAGTGGCGTTGTCGTTTACGACACGTCTACAACTGTTGGGAGCACCACGTACAATAACTATTTTTTCGTGACGTCCTTGTCTGACATTGGAGTGCCATACACAGCTACTGTGTCTAACGCCTACGGGAATTTCTCCACAAGTAACGCCTTGACCGACGTTTATGGTTAGTAAACTCAGCTTATTTAAATGTTATTGTAAAAATGATGAATTCGTAAACAGATCTGGTTTTAATTGTAATACTTTGGTTAAGTTCATTTGGTAATTAATAATCTATTTATTACATTTTTTCCACTGAAATTATCAGAAGGATAAAAACAAATATCTTAACTGCAGTGAAGATTTAGGAAATGTTATATCTTCACATATAGATTTATATTGGCCAATCAAATAGTATTATATATTTACTGCGGCAAATTTTCTGTTTAACAATACATTGTAACAGGAAATTTTTGTCCAGTCAGTTTTTTCGCTCTTCAACAGTAAAATCCATTTTTACCAAATGTTAGATTTGACCTTCACATTTAATAACTATGTATATCATGTTGTTAAACAAAAGTTTGCCGTAATGATTAATTCACCCTCATTACAGACGGCGAAAAAAGTCGAAAATTAAACTGCAGCAAAAAAATTCCGATATATAGTATGCAGATGAAGCGATGGTAGAATAAGTGGTTGATTTTGTACATCTTTGGTATATATTTGAAAAAAAAGATCATTCTATAAATAGAATCTGGTCAAAGGGGTATTCAAACCCTAAACCTGTGCTAAAGGTTGAAAATAAGCTGTCTAAACAACTTAGCCTGTTTGTAAAATGTAATATCTTAATGTCGAAATGTATAGAAACAATCATTTGAAAATAATTTAGTGACACAATGTTGTGATTGTATCCCTGACATGTCTATTTTCCTTGTTTTATTGGCAAATGCATAATGGATGTTGATTTATGCAAGAATTCATCATCTGACCTTCAACCACCAAGTTTTTTGAGTCCACCTGTTGTTTTTGTATCAAATATGGCATTGCGTGTCAACACTCTATTTTATGTTTTATTTTCCAGTCCCAGCAAGTCCTCCTGGCATAGAGGGCGCCAGTGTTGCTTATGAAGGCACACCTATCACACACCGATGTTCCTCGGCTAGAGCGAGGCCAGCGCCTGCACTTTCATGGTTCCTTGGAGACGCAGACCTGACGTCACAGGCGACACAGACTTCAGTTAACCACCCAGACCTCCTCACTGTGCGCACGGCGTCAAATCTCACATTTACACCAACTCAGAGTGACATAGGGAAGGTGCTTACATGTGTTCTGCATCAGCCAGATGGGCGTGATTCTGATCTGTCTGTAGTATTGCCCCTGAATGTTTACCGTGAGTATTAAATCTTATACATTTCTTTGCTTATATATAGTCTTTGATGGGTGATTCTTGTACCAGGAGCTTACGCAGTCCAAGTTTCCTCTGGCCCTGACACTAGACTTAGACATTTTGATAGATAGATGTAAATATATCTGTCACAATGTCTATTGGTCCAGTGTCAAGTTACACATGGCTGCTTTGTAATGTTTAAGCAAAGGGTTTTACCAATTTTCCTGCCTTTAACTTTGCCATGACATATTCCAGGAGTTGAGAGATCGTAAGTGAGTGCAATGCCTGGAGTATCGAGGATGTGTATGAAATTGATTCAGGCAAAGAAAACAAGATAATATTCAGAATTTAAGAAAGTATCCTGATCCTATCTATCGCGTTGTCAATAGTTACCATATATATATTTACAATTGCACTGCAAGTTCCTCTATGATCGTTACCAAAAGAAATTGCTTTAATTTAAGCATTGAACTGCTTTCAGTTGGCATTCATAGGCAATATGAATGCCAACTGGACAAAGGCAAATTCAATAAAGCGTGCTAGCCACCCAGGGAGGGTCAGTGGTATTCAACGCAACAATTATGACATCATAATAATGATGAAGTCAACAATCGGTCTATGACATTCATAACCTATATGAATGCCAACTGAATTTGGTAGGGTTATACAGTGGCAATGCCATACAATGGTAAATATAGGGCTATGAGTGCAGTTGGATCAGCGCCATTATATAGCTTCTCGTGATCCTCCTGCATCGAATAACATGAGACATCCGCTAAAAGCAAATATTTTAATGACATTAGGCTGTTTCAGTAATTTCTTTTGCACTGAAGACGCTAACATTTCAATAATTAGGGAATATCTGGATTTATGTCAAAAGTAAGTAAAATATTGAAATATAAATATAAGGATTGAGCGGCATTTTTTCAATGATCAGTATGAACACAGGGAGTTTCATGGAATATGTATGTAACCAATTTGCGTTCATACAAGCATGAAATTGAAAAAGTGCTGTTCGATCCTGATCTTATATATTAGGGATGTCAAACCAGATGAATTTAGTAACCGGTTACTCAAAAAATCTTCCGATCAAGTAACCATTTAACTGGCTAAACATGTCAATCCTTATATCTATACATATATATATATTTGTATAAATAAAAAATTCACACATTTTATGATAATTTATAGTCGTGAGATACAGAAGCTTCTTTAATTTTTATTCATACAATATAGCATGTTTCCTACCATTAATTTTGCGGCGTCCATCATCCGTTGTCCATCCGTCAATTTTTTCTTTTGAACGACTTCTTCTGAAGAACTGTAGAACCTAGGGTCTATGCTATTTGGCCAGTAAGTACCTGGGATGGAGTGCTATGAAGTTTCCTCATTAAAATGACCTTGACCTTATTTCAAGGTCACAGGGGTCAAATATGTTAAAAATTTCAAACAACAATATCCTAAGAAGTATTTGGTCTAGTGTCATATGATACTTGGGTATGTTATGTAGACCAGCAGTGCAAATATTTTTTTCAATGACAGTAATGAGGTCAAAGGTCAACTTTAAATGTTAGTCGGGGGTCAAATGTCAACTTTGGTTAAAAGCTTTAACAATCTTCTTCTCATGTTCCATAAGGCCAAGGATCATGACATTTGGCCAGTAGGTACCTGGGATAGAGTGCTATAAAGTTTCCACATTAAAATGACATTGACCATATTTCAAGGTCACAGGGGTCAAATATGTTAAAATTCAAACAGCAATATCCTAAGAACCATTTGAACTAGAGCCATGATACTTGGATATGTCATGTAGACCAGCAGTGCAAGTCTAAATTACAGAAATGAGGTCAAAGGTCAACTTTAAGTGCTAGTCAGGGGTCAAATGTGAACTTTGTTTAAAATCTTTAACAATCTTCTCAAGATGCACAAGACCCAGGGTCATGATATTTGGCCAGTAGGTACCTGGGATGAAGTGCTACAACGTTTCCTTATTAAAATGACCTTGACTTAATTTCAAAGTCACAGGGGTCAAAGATGTTAAAATCTTCAAACAACAATATCCAAAGAAACATGTGGACTAGAGTCATGATACTAGGGTATGTTATGTAGACCAGCTGTGGGAATTGTTTTCTTTGTTACAGTAATGAGGTTAAAGGTAAACTTATGTGCAAGTTGGGAGTCAAAGGTCAATGTGTGTTAAAAACTTCAAAATTAAAATTTTAAGTTTCAAACAATAATTTCTTCAGAACCGTATAGAGATGTTAAAATGTCTTGTGTTCTAGTTACCAAATTTGGTCTTAAGTTACCTATATGTCATTTATTTTCATGTAACAAAAGAAACAGGTGAGCGATACAGCCCCTCTGGGCCTCTTGTTGGTAACTTAATTCACCTTAAAAGAAAGAAAAAATGGAAAATGGAACTCTCCTTCACTATGGTAGGTGATGCAGTGGTACCCTTTACCTTAAGGCAATGTTGATATCGCCTACATTTATTAGCGATCACATTCAAATTTCTCATTGTAATTTACTTGCAGTTAAGCCCAGGGTTACCATGGAGCCCGCTACCACTGATGTAGAAATCGGTACCAACAAGATCTTGAGGTGTGTTGTCCAGTCCGTATTGGATCCGACAGTTTTGTGGTTCATTGATGACTCTGCTATTTCTTTCTCTGATGACAACTATGTAATGTCCGGAGAATATCTGACCATTCTTGACTTCGCAACTACGGACAATGGTGCTTACTCTTGTATAGGCCAAAACGAGGCTGGATTGTCCAGTCAAAGTGACCAATTGACTTTGACTGCCTATGGTATGTATATTTTATTAGACCACAGGAACTTGAAATTAACCCTTTCACCACTGTAGAGCATAATGGACTCATCCAGATCAATGCAAGGAAGAGTTTACTGAAGTTACGTCTGGGTGAAAGGGTTAAAGATGTTAATTAGAGGGGAAATTTCAGTCTATTTTTCATGCTGTTGAGACTGAAAAGAGTTCTTTTATAAAAACGTGAAAAATACATACAAGTTGTATTTAGTTGGTCTACAAGGTATCTCCACATGTGCAGCTGGTTTAGGGACAAAAAAGGCCTGTTGTATCCCTATGGAAAAACCAATATTGTTGCAACAAGTTTGATAATTTGTACATTGTTTGTGTAGAAAGTAAAACTTTGATATTACAAATTTCCAAACTGATGAATCTTATTGAAAATATTGTTCTGTTCTTTCCTATTTTGTTATAAACAAATGTTTTTACATGCACAATAATACAAAAACCACTGCTTTGAAACAGGCATTTGATGCTGTAATGATCGTGTATGTCGTATCATGATGCTAATTTTACCGTTATTTACATTTACAAAATATCTCATTTTATTTTCAGCATCTCCTGGTTCACCTTCCATAGTTATGACACCATCGTCCGTTCCAAGCGAAAATGACACTGTTGTTCTCACCTGTAACACAGAAAATGGTGTGCCCTCTCCAAACATCACATGGTCTAAGAATGGAGTTAGACTATACAACGGCATCACAACCTCAGTCACCACGACCTCTGTGTCCAGTACCTTGACATTTGTGGTAAATTACGTCAACGATACGGGGGCTGTCTATAGGTGTACTACAGCCAACAGCTTCGGTACCCGCTTCACTACGGCTACAATACCACTTATATATGGTATGACACTTATATAATACGGTGTATTGTTCTTTAATTTTTCCACATTGTGCAATGTGTCCTGCATACATGTATATATACACACTTGTATTATATATACACTTGTATTATATATACACACTTGTATTATATATACACACTTGTATTATATATATACACTTGTATAAATAGATTTAGATACTCTGTATTTATATATATATATATCAATACTTGCTTATTGATCTAATTTACATACAACTGTGTTAGTTTTTAGAAAATATATGTCAAATGTGATGAATAAAATTATAAAAAATGTTCTACGATTGATATCGCCTGTTCAAAAATTTCCATCACCTATTCAATGACTTATATTACCTGTACACTGATTTATATCACCTGTTCATGGATTTATATCATCTACCCCGGATTTTTATCACCTATGCAATGATCTATATTACCTGTTCAATGATTTATATCACCTGTTCACTTAATTATATCACCTGTTCACTTAACTATATTACCTATACACTGATTTATATCACCTGTTCAATGATTTATATCCCCTGTTCACTTAATTATACCGACTGTTCAAAGATTTATATCACCTGTTCAATGATTTATATCACCTGTTCAAATCACCTGTTAGCTGTTTTCTATCTGCTATCTTTTCAACTTATATATTCCTCATACATATATACTATACAGGTGAAATGGTGTATACCGTATCTATTTTGTTCACATGTAACCATTCTGTAAATTGTTCAGAGATAACCATGAACAGATCTGCTCAGCTTTACTGATTACTTTTATTTTTACACTGTATGATCCCTTTACACAAGCATATGTCGAGTGAATCAAGAGAACCAACATTATAATGCGTGTTAAAAGGACCTCAATTGAACCAATGTTACATTTTGAAAAAAAAATCAAAAAAATCTGATATTATAAATACCTTTTTCCATACCCTACCTGTTTCCCCAAATTGAAGTGCTATACATGGCTGTAAAAGTGAATTATCACAACATATAGTGTATTTCTTTTTATATTAATAAACATGGTGTATTTCTATATATAAATATGATATATATCCTATTTTAATACCTGTGTATATCTTATGGGATACTTACTAAAAGTGCATTGCCTCGCATCCCTGTAACTACAACTGACGCTGCTGACGTAACTTTGAATTTATCAGAGCTGCTTATAGATGTAACAATGTTAACCTGCGATAAAGTTATATTTCATATATAACATTACCGAATATAATATGTATTTTTTTGAAAATAAATAATAAACACATGTGCAAACAACAACAACAACAACAACAACAACAAACATGCAAAAGAACGATAGCAACGACAACATACACTGTAATATTCTTAATTATTTCACCACTGTGGACCATAATGGACTCATCCAGATCGATGCATGGTAGAGTTGACTTAGGTTACATAAGCGTTAAAGGGTTAATTATTCTGATTATAAAAAAAAATAAAAAACGTATTTCTCAGGTCTTGTTAATTATAGTTTAGGGTTAATATTTGTTTAATTTTTGTTTCATATCGTTAAGATTTAAGAGTTGATTTTCCCAAATCGAGGCTTGGTGGTTCGATAAGCTGTCGTTTAAACTTGTTTTATTCTCAGTAAACAATGTTTATCATTATATTGAAAAAAGCATTTACCTGGTATGCAAACATTTTTGAAAAAAAAATGTTATTATTTTGAAAAGCATACAAGACCTAATTAACACAGATATATATTTTCATATCATTCATGTTGATTTCATTACCATGACATCCATACCTAAACATCATTTTAGCGTTTGTTTTAAATGGGTGCGTTGCATATCTAACCAATACTGCAAGTGAAGTTGTTGATTCTTAATCTGATAAATAAAATGTATAATGTTATAAAATATAATCATTAATTAATGCTGACATCACAAAAGTTAAATGTATATTTTTTTCTATTAAATATTTCCATTACGCAGTGAAAAATGTAAAATTCTTTCATATTTTTTTTATTTTTTTTAAAAGATGATAAAAATATATTGTACTTTAATATGAAAACTATATTTGTGTTATATAGAGGTTGATCCTCCTTTTATCAATTATGGACTTTTGTTGAGGTGAATATGTGGTTTTATAGACCTGAGAAAGTTATATTAACAGAGAAACAAGTTGGCTGATAAAATACATAATTTTTTCTGACATTTAAAGCAACCATTACTTTGACAAAGATATTTCAGTGAGTTTTTCAATCTTTATATGTTTCAGTTCCGCCAACTGTCGACGGGATTACGATCCAGGGGAGTAATATTCTCTATGAAAGTCAGACGAGCCATTTCTACTGTGAAAATTCTAGGTCATTCCCAGCAGCCTCTATAAGCTGGGTCCTTAATGGGGAAACCCTTACCGGGCAGTCTTCAGAATCGACGAACGCCGATGGAACTTTCAAAGTATCGTCGAACCTCACCCATCAAGCTCGATACTCCGATTCTGGCAGTATGAATCTGGTCTGCAGAGTGTCCCATTCCGCCACAGCGTCTTCAGCAGATAAAATGATGCTGCTAATAGGATACTGTAAGTATTGATGTGGCAAAGAATTAACTATAGTGTGCAAATTGTTCTATTATTTTATATTTTGAATAAATTTTATTTGTGAGTGAATGAAATTGTGTTAAAAAATGTATCAACTCTTTTTATTTTTAAAATGTATCAACTCTTTTTATTTTTATTTTCTTTTTTGTGGGTCCTTAATATTTCATGTTTATTTTTGGATTTTTTGATAAGTTCTGTTTGTTCAATTGAATTTAATTGTGAATTTGAACAACTTAAACAATGGTCTTTTAAATATTGAGTTATGCTAATTTATTGTCAAAAAACAGTCCTTCCTTTCTTTCAGGTACTTTTTAGTCATATGAGCAACTTCTCCTAATTGTTATGGCACAGCTTCCACTGGCCTTTCACACCTTTTCTGTATTTGTCATCTTAGTTACAATGGCCTAAAAGATTTTGACTAAATTTATTCAGGACTGAAACTCTTATGTTTTACAAAATGAGGGTGTGGCTCCCTGGCAGTACCGTAACGGTATACATTTAGAGATGGCTTAAAAGATTTTGACTTAATTTGTTCAGGACTAAAACTCTTATGTTTTACAAAATGAGGGTGTGGCTCCCTGGCTGTAAAGAGATGAATCCTACACATTCGCTGTAGTGAAGATTATTTATCCTAATTTTAGAGCATCCTTTGGTCGATGAAATTTACCATTATATTTATAAACAAATGTTAAAAATTGTACTTTCGTAGTGGCTGACACCTTGGGCCATAATTGCTTAAACTATCTTTGTAAATATGTGAGGGATATACCTGATCAATGATAGTCCCCTAGCTATAGCCCAGCCCTGACTACAGTTACATCCACAACAATATTAAGGGGAGGTTACTCTATGTATAAAAGAACTGCAGTTGAATTGCCTCGTGTTTTGCTAGTAATGGGACAGAGATCCTTAAAAAAAATATTTATTTTAATTATCATATTGCAGCCATACCGAGAGTTTCCATAACGATTCCGTCCGTAACCGTGGAGAAGGGGACATCTCTGACGCTCCACTGCGTGATCGTATCGGAGCTTGGACAGGCTGTAGCCTGGTACAGATCAAACACAGGACAGACCCTGACACCGCCCGGACGTTATAACTTTAACGGACCCAACGTTACCATAATGGCGGTGGAAGTCAGCGACGAAGGGGGGTACTACTGTACAGCTAGTAACACTGCAGGAATTTCTAACAATAGCAATTCTGTGATGGTCACTGTGTATGGTAAGTGTTCATTATTCTTAGTGTTCTGTTCAATTTGATTTGAAAGTCTTGAGATTGTTAATGAAATACAAGCTTGGACAGAAGCAATATTTGCCTTAAATACTGTAAAAGTATGGAACTGGTTTGCCTTTTGTCAGCATTAATTGTGGACGGAAAACTCAAAATTAATTAGACTTTGAGTGCTTTGAAAGCAGTTAAGGCATCTGACATTCTGCTACCACTAACCCTCCACTTTTAGACCTAGTTGGGGCAGTTGCCAGGTACTGGCCATAGGTCAGTGTTTTTTCTCTGGGAACTGGCTTTCTTCCACCACCAAAACCTGACACATCCTTAATTGATCATAGCTGTTAATAGGATGTAAAACACAAACAAACCAAAAACCAAACAGCTTTTAAAGTGATCGTCCAGAATGACAGGACCAGTAAAATTTGTTTAATTCCTTCAAAAATTATTTAAGACAGTGGTCCCAACAAAATGATAAAAACAGAATTTTGGGGTTAACTTGAATCAGATTTAATGTCTGTTTATCTGTCTTTATCTTCGTTCTTTCTCTTTCTCCCTGGTTGTCTGTCTGTTAGGGGGTGGGGGGAGGGGGTGGGGGTGATCAAGCTCTGTAAGAATAATGGGTATTATGGAATTATGACAAATACATTGAATAAACCTCTGTCACACCCCCACACCCCATCCCCCTTAAGTAAGCTGGGCATTTTACAATAATTGCTTTGTCAGTGCACCCGTTCATGTGTGCCTTCATACATCTGTATAAAACAGCTAGTTATGTACCAGATTTCATCAGTCAAGGTCAAGGGTCAAAGGTCATGATCAAAGATCACACTTTACCACTTTTGAAATAAGAAGCTTGTGTACAAGAATTAATCAGTCGAGGTCAAGGGTCAAAGGTCATGGTCAAAGATCACACTTTACCACTTCTGAAACAAAAAGCTTGTGTACAAGAATTAATCAGTCGAGGTCAAGCTTTAAGGGTCAAAGGTCACGGTCAAAGATCACACTTTACCACTTTTGAAATAAAAAGCTTGTGTACAAAGATATGTCACGACACCCCTCAATAAATTACACCATGATACGGTTATATGAGTTCTACAACTGGATAGATTTTGTTGGTCATCGGTCAAGGTTGAAACTGATTCAAGTGATAACAGTATCATACACTGTGAAATGAACATTAGGAATTTAAAAGTTCAAGATTACTTACTGTTACTAAAATTAGATCAAAGGGAGGGGGGGGGGTACGGTCAGGCACATCGAGGGAAACTTGCTGACCCGTCATTAAAACCATGTGATGATGATGAGTTATGAAATTATTCGAAACATTAAATCTCAGTTTTAATTTGTGTTTTAGCTTACCCTGTAAAACCAGTGATCACCGGCCTTGGGAACGCTGTACCAGAGAATACCGAATTGACCATAAACTGTACCGCGGCAGATGGCTACCCTCTGCCGACAATCATGTGGTTTCGTGACGGAAACCTCATTCTGACTGCTTCGTCTGGACTACACAGTTCGTACTCGTTCATAGCCGATTTTAGTGTCCGCGAGTCGGAGTACACCTGTAGTGCCACTAATTCTTACGGAAGTGAGATGTCTGACGCCACCACAATACCAGACGTTTACGGTAAAGTCTATAAATTATTCAAAATCGGCTCACTCTGCTAAGATACCTCTTTCTGCTTAAGCTTATATATACTGCAGTACGAATTATAATCCATGTCTATTTAGTGCTTAAGATTAAGTCAAGGCTTGTGTCTACTGTATGCTGGAACATTTTCGCTGTAGTTTAATTTTCGCCCTTTTTTGCCTTCTTTGATGCATAGGGCAGATGTATCATTACAGCAAATATAACTAAAAAACACATAATTCACATAGTAATAAGTGAAGGGCGAAATCAACACTGGGCAGAAATTGATTTCGTATGCGAAGGGAGAAAGTTTGACAGGGCGAAAAATTCCTGATATACAGTATATATTTATTCAAACCTGTTCAATTATTGTAGCCATTTTCATGAAGAGACCATCTACTTTTCATGTTCATGTTTGTAGTAATTTCATTGTGAACTGATCCTGTATTAAAAGACCACCTGTATTAAGAGACCACCTGTATTAAGAGACCACCTGTATTAAGAGACCAACTTTTGGGACTTTCAGAAAGTGACCTCTTGATACAGGTTTAGCTGTATTTTGTTTGAAACAGTTGAACGTTATTATGTTAAAATCTTTCAAATTGATCAAATCAAGAAAACAAAATGTTTTTATCTAAGACATTAGAGAGAAAAAATTGTAGAAAAAAAAAATCTGCCATTTATCGCTATGTTTCAAACCTTGAATCTTTCAGATTCCCTATACCCAATTTTTTATGCATGTGAAACCACATATTGTTACATATAATATTCTTATATTTTTTTCCATTTATTAATTAACATTACTTTAATACAACTCTAAAATTCAATTTTAAATTTGATTTATTCTAAATTAATTTTTTAAATGAAAATTGAATAAATATACTTTAGAATTTGTTGAAGTTCCAATTTTTACGGAATTTAGTTAATTAGATAATAATGTTTAAAAACTGTTAGGTATTTATTTTGGTCCTATAGTTTGACTGAGAATCATGAGAATTTTCTTTCAGATGAATTGAATACTATACCCATATATGGCATTCAATATATTGTAGTTCAATTCATGATAGAGTTTAACCCTTTCACCACTGTAGACCATCATGGACTCATCCAGATCAATGTACGGTAGAGTCTACTAAAGTTACCTAGGGGTGAAAGGGTTAACTGTTACCCTATACCTCCTGCAACACTTCACTATCCACGCTTTGCATGATTGTTCTGCTTTGTCCTTGCATTAGTCATAGTTCTATATAATTTAAAAAATATTGGAGCAAGAAAAAACATGTATGCAGTTATCAGTCTGAAATGATTGTGTATCTATGGCATTGCTAATGAACGAGCTTTAACCCTTTCACCCCTATGTAACTTTAATGACCTCTACCATAAATTGATTTTGATGAGTCCATTATGGTCTACAGTGTTGAGAGGGTTTTGGAAATTAATAATTCCAACATAGAGATGAACACTGGTGTAAAAAAACATGTTAATCTTTCAACCTGAGATACAGCCTTTTATCTCACTCACCCCTGAAATTTCATAATGAACTATTCGGACCTTTGATTTGGACAAGTTCAAATGTGTCTTCAGGGGTGAATGAGTTAATGCAAATGCTTTGATAACATTTATGTGTAAAATTCCAACTTTTAAGTAACAAAGAGAGAAAGAAAGTGATATATTTTAATTTCTTTTATTAATTATCTAATAATTCCTGGATATGTTTCACTCAATTTATTGCCAAACCCAATTATATTGCCAAAATTAATTTTAAAAAGAAGGTGATCTATTTTTGTTTTTCTTTTGACAGCTAGAGATAATGAAATTATCAGAGACGTCACAAAAAGATACAATATACATGCTTGATCTGATGTGAAAAGAGAAATGTACTTATGAAGTGATAAAAGTGAAAGCTTGTTACACTGCCAATATTTGTACAGAGAAATTTTGGCATTTATATAAAGGGGTTTGGCAATAAATTGAGTGAAACATATAAAGTAATTCTTAGATAATTAATACAATAAAACCTTGTTATACTGCAATCATTTGTCCAGAAAAATGTATATGTTATAAAGGGGTTTGGCGATAAATTGAGGGAATTGTATAAAGGAATTTTTAAGAAAACAAGAAAAAGGGTCACATTGAAATGCGTTGGCTGATAAGTGAACAATTAAGGTTGCAAATGAAACAAGGTCATAGTATATTAAGGTTTTACTGTAAACATGAACATCCCCATTTTTGGGTGCACATTCTAAACGGTGTTTCTGTATTTATCTTAAAAACAAATTTGAATCTTGCGGAAACTGTATTGTTAACCTATCCATAAACAAACCAGTATTCTGTACTGTTAGAGTTAAAGGACCTAATGAATCGTAAATGATCTTAAACTGCTCTGCCGAAGAAATAGTGTATCAGACTGGATTCACGCCTGCATGTGTACATTTCATATCACAACAGCTATTCTCCTTTAATTTAAAACCTATTGAAAGTTATTAAGTGTAGTCTTTTGTTATTAGCTATATATAACACTTAGATTTTGTGCCAGTATTATTTTCACGTATTTGCGACCTGAAGAATGTACCGCACAAATTTGTTTGTCTATGCATGCACTAAAAGATTGCATTTGTATAAATGTGTAGTACATATTTACACTGTATTCACTGTCACATAGTCTGCACTTATATCTGCATACTAACCTTCGTAACATGCCATTATTTACAGTGCCTCATACTGGAATACAGCTTACTGGACCTGCGGCCGTTTACGAAACCAAAATGTCAGTTTTTCTTTGTACTGTCGCTCGCGTTTCGCCAGTTCCGACGTTCAGATGGCTGATTGGAACGACAGTGATATCATCATCAAACGTAACGGAACTTGGAGACAATTTGCAGATATCTTCGTACTTTTCACATGTTTTTGAAGCCAGTGATTTGGGCAAGAATATTACAAGCATTGTGACACAAGTGGAAACCAGCACAGCTGTGTCAAAGTCTCTCTCCGTGACTTTGCATCGTAAGTACATTTTATACTCTCATTATACAGTTCCATACATTAGTAACAACTTGGGGGTGGAGACCCAACGTCCCTGCAAGGAAGTCAGTTCCATAGTGGTGGTAGGGATCCTGGGGTGGATACCTTAATGGTACTCAACAGTGCTCATCGGGGAAAGCAGAGCAAATGAAAACAGAAATGATGAGCAACAACACCACTGAATCGGGTACAAATGTAATGTTTGATTTACATCCCAAGTGCTGACATGTTTAGGCCAAAGGGAGGCCGTCTTATGAGCCAAAGGGAGGCCGTCTCTGAAGACGGACTCTCATTAGCCGAAACACGTCAGCACTTAGGATGTAAATCAAACATTACATTTTACACCAGATCCAGTGGTGTTGTTGCTCATTTCATTTTTCATTAGTTGCATACATTGTTTATCTGGTCTGTAGGACAAATATGGGCTTAACCCTTTCACCCCTATGTAACGTTAGTAAACTCTAGATATACTACTGTGCATTGATCTGGATGAGTCTATTATGGTCTACAGTGGTGAAAGGGTAAAGGATCCCTGTCCCACTGCACTGTGGTTTTACCTATACACAGTAACCTCCCCTTTATTTCCTTTTGAAAATATTGTAAGCAGAGTTGGACCAAGACAATTCTGTTGATACAGGCAGTTGCACTCGGTTAGAGCAATATAATTATATCAATCTAAATGCTAGGGCTCCAATCCTGGTCTATAGCTAGCCTCGCTGATTTTTTCTTCACCCCTAAACTCTTTCGTTGATTTTATTTTTCTAGGTCAATTTTAATATTTCTCATACAATTAAGTTCCGCAAGGTATGGTTTGTTGAAGAAATGATTTATCAAATCTATAGTCATGCAGAAAAAACCAGTTTCCAACACTTCCTTAGTTCTTGACAGTGATACAGCAGGGATCCCTAACATGATGTTTGTTGTTCATCCTTCATAATATTATGGTGTCTTGGTGAAACATTTTTAAGAAACTTAAAATAAATGGCTGTGTATACTATTATATTGTTTTTAGTACATTGTGCAGTATCACAAATAAAATTTAAACCCAAGTTTATGACAATTGGAGTCTTTCACACCTGTTAGGTGGAGATAGTGAGATCACATCCTGAAGGGGAAGTCCCATAGTTACAAATACGGGGTTTGCAAAGTGTTTGGCAAATTGTAAATCTTTCCTGAGGGTTGAGATTCTTGTAAAATTAATAATCTTTCCTGAGGGTTGAGATTCCTGGCAAATTAATAATCTTTCCTGAGGGTTGAGATTCCTGGCAAATTAATAATCATTCCTGAGGGTTGAGATTCCTGGCAAATAATAATCTTTCCTGAGGGATGAGATTTCTGGCAAATAATAATCTTTCCTGAGGGATGAGATTTCTGGCAAATAATAATCTTTCCTGAGGGTTGAGATTCTGGCAAATTGTTAATCTTTCCCCGAGGGCTTTGATTTCTGGCAAATTAATAATCTCATATGTCATATCCTCAAGGTAGGGGATGATTATTTTCTATCATCATTCCACTTCTTATCTAAAGATTCATTCTCGATTTCAGGGCAATTAAAAATATGTGTGCAATAATTCTGATGTTAATGAGGTGGTGTAACTTGCCAACGACAATATTGTCATATTCAGTGAACAGTTTGACAGGCTTTTGATTGTGATGTCATAATGTGACATGGTCCTTTGATTTGGACATCCTACTTACGTTGAATACATGCTTCTCTTACCCTGGACAGGTGTATCCAGACTTTTACCGGTGTGAGACATGACCTTGTCTCACCCTTGGGTTGAGACAGGGGGATTTCCCTATCCAAAACAATGGTTTGACGTCATGTCAACAATACAATGACGTCACTTCAGCTCTGAATTTATCCTGTAGCGTTAACATTACATAATGTATATAGGATACACAATGGGAGAACAGGGTGAAAAAAAAGAATCATATCCCACTCGTGATTGAGAGAGGGAAATTTCAACCCTCAGGGAAAGATTCTTAAGTTGCCAAAAACTCGGCAATTAAGCTTCATGTTTGGCATTGGCAACTTAAGAATCATCCCCCTTGTTTTGAGATTCCCTATCTCACCCCAAGGAGGTGAGAGGTTCAATGAACCCTATAAGTGTGTTCTGACAATGAAACACGTCTATATAACTTGCACTTGTAGAGGTGGGATCAGAATAAAAGGATCTTTCCCTTCTATGGGGGTTAGACAGATATCTCAAACATGTCATTCTAATCAATATATAGTTAAACCTTTATGTAATAATCAGTGATTTTCCTGGCCAGTTTAGGAAATAGCCACCTGGTTGAAATTGGGAATTTTTTGTGCGATGCAATTCAAGTGCCAAGTTAAGTAAGTCTAGTTTGTATAGTAAATACGTGTAGAACCAGATCATTTTCCGATCTCTTCTTTTTGCTCTCATGAAAAAAATACAAATGACTTAGGAATTATTCAGTCTTTCGGGGGAAAATACAAAACATATACCGTTGGGAATGGTGCCTAATTTTGGCCACAAATATATAGGTATGAAAATCACTGATAGCTAGCACTCTTAACTCAATCACCCCTACAGTATTAAAATGGACTTGACAAGCCTTTGATTTGGTAAGGTTCATTTGTGACTTTATGGGTGGATGTGTTAAAACAAAAAGCTGAAATTATCATTACTTAAACTAAATAACTTTCTGCTTACAGTGCTTCCGAAGATATTGAACATCGCTGATAATCGAGACGTGGAATTGTTTACGATCACGACAGTCATATGTGAAGTTTCGTCCTCTGATCCGAGTTATAGTGTTGCTTGGTACAAGGGAGGTATACTCATCGACGTGGATACAAGCAACGGAAAGTTTTCTACATCAAGCAACCTGCTGACAATTACATCCTTTCAGGTGGAGGATTCTGGCCTGTACACATGCAGTGCCTCACACCAGGGGGGCAGTTCGGGGATTGGTCAGCCAACAAACTTAACAGGCTTTGGTGAGTCTTTTCATGCGCCCGTCAAATTTGGCAAGAGTATTATGGTATGGCGTTGTCTGGCCGGCCGGCCGGCTTAAACTTTTATTAGTCCGGCAATCTCCTCCTACATTTTTTGACGGATTTCTTTGAAACTNCTTGGAAACTTGGTATACATTATAATCACGATATGAAGTTGTGTCTCCCTGTTCATTTCAGTATTTGATTTTTTGTCCGGAGATCTCCTCCTACATTTTTTGATGGATTTCTTTGAAACTTAGTAGGCTAAATAATCATGATGTGTTGTTGTGTTTTCTTTAGAAGAATTTTGATTCAACAATTTTTGCAAAAGTTATTGCCCTTTGTTTATTTCAGTATTTGGTTTTTGTCCGTCAATCTCCTCCTACATTTTGCAACGGATCTCTTTGACACTTGGTATACATTATAATCATGATATGAAGTTGTGTCGCCCTTAAAAGAATTTTGATTCAACAATTTTTGCAAAAGTTATTGCCCTTTGTTCATTTCAGTTTTTGAGTTTTTGTCCGGAGATTTTCTCCTACATATTTTATAGCTTGTCAGCTAACCACTCTTAGAATGATGCAGATCTTATTTCAATGTAAGAAAGTATATAACACTATATGACATTCGACGGGCGTATATTGTTGCGCCGCGCGGTACTCTTGTTTATCATGATCCTAGGTGTTTTTCAAATATTATAAAATCCAAAAGTTTGACTGGATGCTTACATCATGATATTTTATGATGTAAATATGTTTATCAATTATGGACTTTTTTTGAGGTGAATATTGTGGTAGTATGGACCCAAGAAAGTGTTATTAACCGAGATAAATAAGTAACTTAACAATAAACAACTTTTTATGATGTAAATAGATATGTTTATTGCTATGTGTACCTATAATGAGATAGAGAACGTTTTGATGGTACATTTAATATAGAATAGTTCATTATGAAATTTCGGGGGTGAATGAATTAAAGATGTTATTATTTCACTATTTCCGTTTACTGTACTGTTAGTAATTATTTTAGGGGATTTTATTTTAAATTTCCAGGATATCCGATCCAGCCTGTCATTACTACAAGTCATCCTGCTATGATTTTGATTGAAGGAGAAACATTGTTCTTGAATGCAAGCACTAATAGAGGTGTACCAGTTCCCACCCTTATCTGGAAACGATCCCGACCTGGCTCAGCCAACGAGGTTCTAGATTCCTCCTATACATCCACGATGGACGGTTCAAACACGTTCGTCTTCAATAACTATTCCGCCGTCATTCATTTCCGTGACAACGGTTCAGTCTATATATGCGAAGCAGAAAATCAGCATCTCAAAGTCGTGAATTCCATCCAGCTAAGAGATGTTTATGGTAAGAATTGCATTAATACCATTTTCAGTTATATATTATAAGACCATACTTTAAGGGACACATTTCAATATGTATGTATCACTGCGATGTCAGGTAAAACTGACCAGACCGTTAAATAAGTTTTCGGCAATTATCGTGTGAATGTGTCGAAAGACCAATGTATTGACATCATATATTAAAAGTCTGATCTAAATTTAATTTATTACTGGTGAATAACGAATAGAAAGAAGAGGAGTTATAAACTCCTGAAGCCCAGTTTTCATAAAGTAATACTTCTGTTTTACCTTAGTTGTCACCATTTTTTGTCCTCCAAGGTCAAGGCTGTCGTCTGAACCCGATGTTTCTGTGACTTTCACATGAAGAAAGTTTGTGTGACAGTCGACAAACGCTCCTGCGGGAATTTCTTGAATAGAAAATTACTATGAATAGCAATTATTTTTATTGTGCCTGTATATATAGGCTGAAATATTATCACTTTATTCCTAAGTGAAATTCTGACATTTTCCCTAGCTCCTATAAGTTAATCGGGTAAAGAAAAAAACGAAAAATTCAAGACAAATTTCTTTTGAGTGTGTGTTTTAAAGAGCCACATGTAGCAGAACAAATGTTCATTTCCTAACTTTCTGTTAAGATCCCAAGAATTCTTCTTTCTTGAGGATAAAAAGAAGAAAAGAGGTTATAGAGGCTTAAATACACTGTCAATTTTTCCAACCTTCAAGAAGATCTCGATGCCGATTCTCAAGGAAAAACCGGAAGTAATAAAAGATATAAACTGTTCTGATGGAGATGTCAAGATGTGTAATATGATTCCGCAGTTAATGTCAACAAAGTGAGAATGTTCAATGACTGACTATCGCTGCAATGTATATATGTACAGACAAGAATGTTCAATTTGAATGGTTGGTGTCGGAGAGGTGTGCTGTTTTAACGTAACTTGTATACTGTAAACAAAGTTGTATTTAAGATTGCCGTTCCACTGCCAAAAACAATCTTTATGCATCGAAAAAAAACAAAAACTGCAAGACTATAATTTTCATAGATATTTCTAGGAATTTATCCATATATCTTCTGCAACTTAAATAAAAAAAATAAAGGTAAAGAAAAAATAATTGGAAAACCCACAACATTGTATTGAGTGTTTAATTGCAACACACCTTGACCACAATTTGAACACTGGAGCTCCAATCACGGTAATGTTGCTCCAACGAACTCAGCTACCAGGTCATTGGTGGTGGACCCAGACATTCCACAGTTATATTTAAAATTAAGGGGAGGCTACTGCATGTAAGAAACTACGTTTGAATTTTTTGATTTGCATGCAGTGGGGCAGGGATCATTAAAGCAATCGTATTTTTGCGCATGAACAATAAGATTTGCCCTATGTTAAAAGCAGAATCTATAACATAATACAGAAACTTACCTATCTATTTAGTGTTTATGAGATCTTAATAAGCACCTTTGTCAGTGCACAAACCACTAAAATATGAATACCACTAAAATGATATATTTACAGTAATTTTGCTCCAAAAATCCGCTATTGTTTCCATAACTATTACTATTGTACTATGTGTTTTCAGTCCAGGTCCCATGTAACTGTATTGATCTGGAAATAAGCCCATGCCTGGAAATAAGCCCATGCCTGGTAATAAGCCCATGCCTGGAAATAAGCCCATGCCTGGTAATAAGCTCACCCAAACCTACTGAAATTCAGTATAAATACCAACAAAACCTGTCTCATTGTCCTGTAATAAGCCCGCCCCCTTACTTTGAGTTCAAATGTGTTTACCCCTGGGTTTATTGCAGGATTAGTTTGATATTAAATCAATTAAAAGATTAATCATAAAAATCTGTGATAATATGTCATATTAATGTAAAAGATTAAATTTGTCTTCGCCATCGCATAGTTATGTATAGTCAATGGTTATTCATATATATGCCTATAGCGTTGTTAGGGATGTGTTGTGTTAGTCAGAGTGATGTCCCTTCAGATTACTCTTCTATATATTGTATCAGTCAGAGTGGTGTCCCTTGAGATTACTCTTCTATATATTTTATCAGTCAGAGTGGTGTCCCTTGAGATTACCCTTCTATATATTGTATCAGTCAGAGTGATGTCCCTTGAGATTACTCTTCTATATATTGTATCATTGTATTCCATGTGGTTTTGGGATGAAGTCGTGTTGAGAAGATTGTCTTGGCGTTTGTCAACTGAATACTGGCGCTCCTTAAATTTACAAACAAGGCGAACAAGAGAATTTGTCCGGAGTTCATACAATATTCGTTGATTACTGTTTATTGTGATAACTATCATGTTGATGAATATTTTTAAGTGTACATACAAACAGTCGTTACCATTTTAAAAAAATGTTACATATTGTCCATTTCAATTCATTGTTTATTCAGCGTATATGCTCATCATTTTTTTTTTTCATTTTTCATTTGCATGTTCACTGTTTCATTATGTTTCGCTTTAATTGTTGATTGAAAGAGTTTGTTTTAAGTTCAGTTGGTGAAGGGAATTTCTAATCCGTCAGACTTTTTTTCAAGTTCTGCTACAGATGCTACTAATCAACTGGATTGCCCAAACAATTTAAAACCTTTTATTTTAGTTATTAAACATTTATGGTTTTGCTGCGTGGTCTATTTAGCTTCATGTGTAAACTCAATTGATTCAAAATTTTGGCATTATTTATATTCATATTAATTGATAGAAATACTCCAAAAATTATTCGTGCATAAATTGACACAAACACTGCAATGAATACTGCAAATAAAAAGATCATAAAAATCCCAACATCTGACATGTTCCTGTTCAATCTGATAAAGTCATATATACAATAGCATAACTATTTCCTTATTTCCCTCCCTTTAGGAATTTATCACCAATTTTTATTAAAGTATCTTTAAGTTTACTAATTTAATTAACAACTTTTTAGTTAAGATTTTATGTTTTGGTGGAAGATGGTTTTCAATTGATTTGTAGAATTGTTTTAGAATGGGTTATTTGTGATTGAATATAGTGATACGCATTGATCATGAAAAGCGAAGTTCAAGGGGAGTGATGAATACATTGTATTTTAATTTTGAATCATCTGGCATTCATAGCAGATATGGTGTCTTTCTGAAGTCTTAACTCATTCACCCCTGAAGACACATTTTGAACTCTTCCAATCAAAGGTTGGAATAGTTCAGTATGAAATTTCAGGGGTGAACGAGTTAAATAAGAAACTGAAATAAATCATTGTAAACATGTCATGTATATTTCCTGATTAACGAGGCACTCAGAAGAACCAATCACAATATTGCTATAGTTATAAATCTAAAATGTTTTGTCTTATTTGTTCATCTCATTCACCCCTAAAAATTTCATAATGAATTTTTCCAACCTTTGATTTGGATGAGTTCAAATGTGTTTTTAGGGGGAAATGAGTTAATTGTTTTACATCACATGATATTCAAGGATATTTTATAAAAATGTTTTAACAACAGTTCTAGTCTGTTAAGGAAAGTGTTTTTTTATCATTGTTACAGAATTATTTTCATAACATTTATGCATTCATTATTTTTTGGAAAAGTTGGACAGTTGAACTGGTTTAAGTATTACCGTGTGTTTTTTTTTTATCTTTGTCCCTAGTGACCCCCGTTCCAACATTGTCGGCCTCAGTTGTCAATTGGGATCAAGTGAATTCTGTAGCAACTGTCTACGAAGACAAAATGTACACATTCAATGGTTCTATACCACGGTTCAATCCGAAGACTGCTGTCATACGGTGGTTCGTTGACAACGTAGAAAAGACTCCAAACTATGTCAATCAAAAGGTCACTGCGACAGGAGAACACAAATATACTTCCTCAATCAATGTCCTGATGCCATCAAGTTTGGACGGTAAAAATGTCACGTTTATGGTCGTACATCCGGAGACAACTTCCAGAAATGTTTCAATTACCATAGACGTATTGCGTAAGTATTTAACAACACACACTTTAAATATACCCATTTTTTTTGTGGCAGGCTATTTCTCCTCCGGAGCATCAATTAGTTCCTGATACTCTAGGTTCATTAACCCTTTCATCACTGTAGACCATAATGGACAAGAATCCTTAATTCATTCACCCCTGAAATTTCATAATGAACTATCCCAACCTTTTAATTGGAAGAGTTCAAATGTGTCTTCAGGGATGAATGAGTTAAAATACTTTGTTCTACTTCCAGATAAGCCTCGGGTTTCTGTACAATCAGCATCTGGTCTGGTAGTTAAAGACACCGATTTTTCGGTGACGTGTGAAGTTGTTTCGACTCTGAGCTACAACGTCGAGTGGAAGATTCAAGGAAATGATACTAAACTTGAAAACACGTTGAAGTACAGGATTACAGGAGGTCAAGGACAGACGCTGATGATCCTTAGTGCCGATTACACAGACAAAGTAACTTACGCCTGTTCCGCCACCAACAGCGCAGGAACCTCAGATATGCCAGCAACTTTTTTCCTGGTTGTGTACAGTAAGTCTTGTATTCACTTTACAATCCTCAACTTCAAAATTCAATGCGTTTGGCTCGAGGTATATATTCTCTCTACCCGTAAAACATGTTATGATGTGATCGTAGGCTCTATATGTTTGTTTGTTTGGGTATTTTTAAACATTTTCTTCAGGTTCGTAAGTGTGGATTGTGAAAAGATTTATGTAGCACAACCAAAAAGTGTTTATATGTGACGTTTCGATGACTAGTACGGTATGTACTCTGTCACCTTCATCAGACAAATGACCAGTGAAGCATAATACTCAAAGGTGTAAAATGTGTACGAGTTGTCCACAAATTGATGTCGTTTCGGCTATGCTGTAAGCTTGTGTACAATTTAGCTGTTATCTATGAACAGAAATGACTCAATTCAGCTATAATGCTTTGTTTAATACTTGGTAATAGATGTGCATTACATATAAATACTTTTTGGTTGTGCTACATGAATCTCTTCAAAGTCGTTTGTTTGGGGTTCAACCTCTTGGCAACAGCCCAGTGAGGGTCATATGGGGAAAATTTTACGAAACTCTGCTTACCGTTAATTTCTTTGATACAATGATTGCCTTTGTGTCATAGACCTGATTCAGGTGCATGCAGTTCTTAACAATAGGTCAATTCCCCTCCAAACTCACTGTGATGTAAAAAAAACAAATCACTCTTTGGTCATCAGTGAACGACATTCTTTCCCTTTTATTTCATCTGTTGAACTTATAATTGTTTTGATTTCTCCTGACATTTTGTGTCATTATACCCCCCACAACGAAGTCAATGGAATCAGTAACCTGTCTGTCTACCGTCGGTCCGTCCATATGTCCGTCTGTCTCCATATTAACTAACAGGCAGATTTTATTGAAACTTCACTTGAATGATCAGTATATAATTTAGTTGTGCACCCGCATTATATTTTCGGATTTCAACACTTTTTCAGGGAGTTATTGTCCTTTATGTGAAATAATTTACCAGGAAAACTTGCTCTACCAGCTTTAATTTTGTATATCTTAGAAAGGTGACCCCAAGGTCAAGGTCACTAAATGATGTATAAACAACCAGCATCTGTATTAGCTACCCTCTGCCTTAATTTTCATTTCACGACTTTGAATACAGATTTTTTTCCTTGTGTGATGACGCTGTGGTAATTCTATGTTTACAGAGGGAGTTGGACAGCCAGCCTTGGGCGGATTAAACCGGAATGTGATAGATGGCGAAACAGTCACCGTACATTGTAACTCGTCTGGTGGCGACCCTCCGGCATCGATTGCATGGGAAAAAAATGGAGTGGCTCTGACAGCACCAAACCCAACATTCGGGAATTCCGATAACAACCCTGTTTCTAGCATGTTAATGATAGTCGTGAACTTCGCAACCGACAAGAATGCAGTTTACAAGTGCACAGCGTCTAATGCTTACAGCAGTCTAAGCGTCGAAAGCCGTTTCAGCGACGTATACAGTAGGTTTAAGAGTACTTCATATATTAACTCATTCACCCCTGAAAATTGATAATGAACTATTCCAACCTTTGAATTGGAAGAGTTCAAATGTGTCTTCAGGGATGAACAAGTTATTCTAAAATGTCAACAATGCAAAGACTTGACTTTTCATTGGTTAATAACCTAGCTGGTATATTTTGAAAAATTATGGTTGTTCATATCATTTTCCCCAAGACCATGCACATGCAATGCTCTTCCAAAAGCCTTTCCAATATTGCAAATAGAAAGTGGTCTGTTGTTTGGCAGGAATCTATAACTGTACACTTCTATCCATTTCTATGCTGCAGAACATTTCTAATCAGCATCTGATTATATATAGATATAAAGCAATACTGTGGAAATATAACCTGTGATTTGAAGATGTTAAAAAAAAAATCTTTAGGCTCAAAGTAGCTTCTGTTTATTCATTTTTTATCCGATTTTCTAACTTTCTATTAATTGACCATAAAACACTCACAAAAACTGTTTATTTAATTACTTTTCAGTATTTTCAAACACCATATCTCTCACAAACCTGGGCATAGTGACTGCCTTGACCCAATACACAGTGGGATGTCAGACGTCAGGAATGTATTTGGAGCCTCGACCTGTCTGGATGTTAAATAACGTCATACAGTCCAATGGTATTTACAATTATACTTGGATTCTAATCAAACTGTGATCATACAATTATATTCTGTATCCTTAAGTTGGGTCAGGTGACCAACTTTATTTTAAGAGTTATGGCCCTTTGAGACATATATCATGTACTTAAAAAATGTCACCTACAATAATTCAATTTGGTTTGTAATGTTTTTTAGCCCACCATCATCGGTGGTTGGCTATTCAACTTCATTCTTCGTGTGTGATCCGTCTTCTGTCCATCATTCGATCATTTCGCCCGTTCTTAAACAGTTCTTGTTAGCGCTATACTATTCAGAAAGTATAAAAGGGATTTTTTCTGAAATTTCACATGAAGGTTCCAAATGGTTTTTTGTTATGCATATCAAATTTTGGGACTGATCACAAAACCAAGATGGCCGACAGACAGCCATCTTTAATTTTAGAGATAAAGTTTGTTATCGCTATTTCTCAGAACTTACAGGAGAGATCTTAGGATCTTAGATCATAGGAATTGTTCGTAGTTATGTATATCAGATTTTGGGACTGAAAGGAAACAAAGATGGCTGACAGATGGTCATCATGAATTTTGAGAGTTAAAGTTTATTAGGCGCTATTCCTCAGAAAGCACTAGTAGAACCTTTCTCAAATTTGATACGCAGGTTCCCCTTGGTCTGTAGTTGCGCATGGTTACCTTTGAGACTTATCGGATAAGCAAAATGGTCGACTTGCAGTTTGAAAGCTAACCCTTTCACCCCTATGTAACTTTAGTAGACTCTACCATGCATTGATCTGGATGAGTCCATTATGGTCTGCAGTGGTGAAAGGGTTAAAGATTATTATTGCTAATACTCAGAAAGCACTTGAGAGATAATTCTTTCTCAAACTTGATATGTATGTTAGTCTCCCTGGTCCTTAGTTGTGCCTGTTTTATTTGGAGAGTGATCATAAAAACAAGGTGGACAGAGTAAAAATTCAACTGATCATTTCTCATATTGCAATGATCGGTTCTACTTCCTATACATTAAGTACTGTACTAGTAAATATGTGCAACAACAAAGACACCTTGGTTGTCTTTTACGAACAGTAGTATAAAGGTAATAGACCTACATAGATTGTGAGATACATTTCCTGTTTTCATGACTCGATCAAAAAGATAAGAGAAAAGTAGAAAAAAGAAGGCAACTGACATAGACTCAATGACTAAAAAGGAAGAGACTACAAATAATGAAGCTGACTGTTATTTCCAGTGTATAGACTTGACTTTTGATCATGTCATATGGTTTATGCAAATTGTAAGAAAGTTACTTTGAGCATAACTTGATAAGAATACAGGCCCAAGTCTCATTTGATTACTCCTATCTATATATTTCATTCGAATTCGGTAAAATTCAGCAAAAGTATTGCCCAATACTTGGGTCAAAATCTATTATGGAATTTGAATCACTATTTTTTGTATGTCTCCCCTTTAAATGAAGGGAGACATATTGTATTAATACGGGTTCTTCTTCTTCTGGTTCTTCTTATCGCAACTTGTCCGAGCCATGACTTTTAAACCGTTTAAAGATATCTGGATGAAACTTGAGGTGTGCCTGCATCACCCACAGAAGTTGTGCAGTGCACTAGAATTAGGTCATTGTGACCTTCACCTCTAGGTTAAAGGTCAAACAAGTGCAACATTTTCAGTAAATTTTTGTCCGTCTCTTAAATTTTTAATTGTTGAAGATATCTTGATCAAACTTGGAGTATACCTGCATCACCCACAGAAGGTGTGCAGTGCACTAGAATGAGGTCTCGTACCCCACTATATACAGAGATATAGCCCTTTGTTTATATTTAATACCGAAGATTATCCTGGAGCTCACGTTCCATGTTTTTTAACGTACGTTGACCAAACTTACCATATTTATGTGTCTTGGGAAGGCATAATCTCTCAACACTGAATCGGATCACCGTGCCCCACTATATAAAGTGTTGTGGCCCTTTGTTTATTTTTTATTTCAAACTTTGTCCACGGCAAAAGTTTGTCCATAACTTTTAAACCTTTAAAGATGTCTTAATGAAACTTGAAGTTAACCTACATCAACCATAAATGGTGTGCAGTGGATTTTCATTATGTAATTGTGACCTTAACTCTAGGGTCAAAGGTCAAAAAGTCTCATTACTGGAAACATTTAAAGGTATGCACCAAGGTGTATATCTGCATCACACACAGACGATGTACAGTGCACTGTTGTTAGGTTACTGTGACCTTGACCTCAAGGTCAAATGTCAAATAAGTGCAAAGTTTTCAGGAATATCTTTTCTGGGCTGTAACTTTTTAAGGGAAGACATACGTTTTTGTTTACAAAAACAAATTTCTAGTTTATGCTTGTTGCTTAAATATTTATATTAAATATAAATTGTATATCTCTGTACTGTAACACGCTTTAGAGTGGCTTATTCTAGCTAGATAGGCGCTATATCAAGTGTTTTATATTATAATGATTATTATTATTTATATATTTCTTTGTAGGCATCACTTCAGTATACAGTACAGCCAGTGATGGCACCTTCGCAGTGCAATCGAACCTCACCTTCATTCCTACCAGAGACAATAACGGCGGCAACCTTGTCTGCAAATTTGATCACACTCAATATACGGGACGTAGCGTTAATGCTACACAGACACTTTTTGTCCAGTGTACGTGTAATTCCTTACATAATTGTATCGGCAATATTTTCATAAATTGTGCACAAATTAGACAGAGTGGCAGATATTTTTATAAACCATTGTATCGATACTGAAGCGACAACAACAAAATTGTGCTAACCGCTGTGTATCATAAAAATACACTGTATATATCTATCACAAGATTCGTATGCTGCGAGTTTCATTCATTGATGTATTTTTATTTTTTTTGTATTTTTGTAAAAAAAAAATCAAACATGTATGTGCCTAATCAGTTAATGAAATATTGCAATTTTCTAAGGTACAGTTTAAGTCAAAACAAAATTAAAGGAAGGTAACTGTAAATTAAAAAAAACCTCAGAGGAATTCTCTAGTGCAGTGGTACAGGGATCCTTAAATAAAATTTGCTTTGATGAGGTAAATGCTCTTTACCGTAATTCATTCACCACTGAAAACACATTTGAACTCTCCCAATTCAAAGGTTGGAACAGTTCATTATGAAATTTTGGGGTTAATGAGTTAAACTATATTGGTCAAGCAGATATAGTTGTTTTACTACTCAGGAAAAGGTCAAAGGTCATAAATAATGGCTTAAAGATGAAATATGTATAAAAAAAAATAGAGTGAAAAATTAGAAAAAATATAAACATGTACTTAATGTATTACTGTAAAAAGGAAAATAACAACAATATTTAAGATTTAATTTTAAAAATTTAAGAAAAATGATTTAAAAGTATAAATTCATGAAATAAAATACTGCAAAATTATGGGAAATCTATTAGACAGGACTATTTCTGGTATAACCCCTATTTCCTTTCCATTTCTATTCTGTAAATGTTACCCTATAAAAAATGATTAATATAAAATTACTCCTGGATCTTCAATCCTGGTACTATATGTGTTTTACTTTATAACTAAATTGTGAGACTAACATTATATATGTAGTTTGTTTATTTCCATGTGAAATTAAATTTCAAATATCAAGAAATATAAAACTAAAACAAAAGAAAGGTTGGAATTATTCATACAGTGTGTTTATATTGAATCAATGTTAGTCCAGATTTATTTTCAAACCATTCTAGATTTGAAATTGAAATGTTTTATATCAAACACAAGATCTACGAGTCTATCATTCGTGATTGTATTTGGTGTCTGCCTAACAACAACTCTAAAAAAAAAAATAAAAAAAAAATGTTTGATATTTTCAATTACCATATCATTTGTAACACTTATGGAATCAATTTAACCCAGAATTTTACATTGCATGGTATTTTCAAATGAAATATTGGATATATCTAGCTTATACACTATATTTTCATCCTGCAATAAGCCCCCGAGGGTAGGTGGGTCCGGCAGACAATTTCTGGCTCAAAGTAGGGGATTTATCTTATTACAGGACCATTAAGTAGCATCTATTGATAGATTTACTGATCTGAAATATATATGGGTGGGCTTATTAACAGACATGGGCTTATTCTGGGAAAAATATTGTGTTAGATATATTTCAATACAATGATATGAACGACTTATCAATAATCTAAAAAATATTGGTTATGGTGGAGTTTGTGTATCGTTGAAATACAACTGAACGATTTTATGCAAATTACAGATAATATTTTCAAGGCAATCTCTTAACTAGCATAATTTATCAATACAAAAATCTTTCATTTTTTAGTCAAAGTGATATTTCCCAACTCATCTAATGAAAATACATTAACAAATTTCTTATTTTCCCTTCATCCTTTATTTGGTTTTTTTCATATAAAGCCAGATCTTGTTATAATGCCAAACGTTCGACAGGCAAGTGATGACCTTAAATCAAATTTTGTTTATTACTGTAGTCCATCAAATTTAATTTCATTTTTTTTCTCTCTGTAAGTAATTGAAGTCAAAATGTATATAAAACAAATGAATATTTTAATAATTCATATAATGATTTAAAAAAGACAGAACAATAATTTTAGATTTTAATATTTAATTGTAATAAAACATGTTTTTTTTTTCTTATTCATTCCTGCCAAGTTACCTGCATTTGTGCAGGTCTACCTGCAAAATGACCTCCATGACCTGCACAGATTTTGGTATATTATAAAATGTCCTGCATTTTCACTGATTCTTTTGACATTGAACATGTTAGAATTTATCGCATGTTTAAAACTATAAATATATTCAAGTATCCCTTAAAAAAGACAAAATAGTATATTAAAATGGAAATTCTGACAAGTTTAAATGGCATACAACTGATTTTGATGACTTTGAAAAGTATATGCACTGAAATGGCCTGCAATTAGCAGACTTGACCTCCATTTTGACCTCTATGATCCCCATTTCATTGTTTAGAGCTTGGCAGAGATGTCTTTGTGCAGGGTTAGGCTTCCATCAGCGAATAGTTTTTTTTATTTGTTTTAGTAAATGTTTATTTTTATTACAGTTTCGCCTGATGAGCCAATTATCTCTGGCTTTAATCCGGAGGTAACAGAAAACACCCCACAATCTCTACTTTGCACTGTCAACAGTGGAAATCCGAGACCAACAGTCCGATGGTTTAAAAACAACAACCTGATAATGGGCACTGAGGTTAAAATATCAACCAACACACAAGGACACTACGTCACGACCAATCGATTAAACTTTACTGCGTCACTTCAGGACGATAGCTCGGCAACGTATACTTGTCACTTTCAACACGTGGTCCGAAACTCAACATCAAATGTGACGTTTGGGCAAATAAAGGGTAGGGCAGGCAGTCTTTGTTTGTTGTGCTGAATTTTGTTTAGAAATATAGAAAATGTGTAAAAACCCACCTGGTAACAGGATAGATATTATTTTAGAACCGTTACTCTATCCCTACATAGATTGTGTTAGATTTGTATTGAGTTAAACTAACATAGTTTGAATAGCATTTACTTTAACTGAACTGTTACTGTTAGGATAATGCAGATTTTCATAAATTGCTTCTTAATAAATTTATGATACAATCAGTGTCCAACTGGCTGAAAGAGGCCTCGCATGTTCTTTCTTTATAGACATTTTGTCAATAAATTCCAAAATACAAAATGTTTATAAGGATGTAATTTTGAAAAGGTTTTTAAAGTCAAAGGTGGTATTTTTTTTCAAACTGAAATTATAATATGTTTTGTTGAAATTCATCGTAACAGGAGTTAACTGTAACCAATGTTGAAGATTGAGAATAATATTAGTTGACTAATTTGTTTGGTTTCAGAATAAGTGGCAGTTATTTATAGTGTTTATCTAGCTGGAGGTTATTCATTTTCAAATTTTCCTTTTTGTGAGTTGAAAATTAATGTTCGAAAGTTAGATTAACATCCCAAACAAGGTCCACAATTTGCGGAATTTCTTTCTACCACAATTTGTTGAGACATTGTCGAGCGATCATCGTTTACAAACGATAAATCAGGCCATTCACCAATTTGTTTGAGGTGAAAAGTTTGGTAATTAATATTCAAAAACCACAGCTATGTTTTAAGCTCTACACCCAGATTTTATTTCAGAATAGTCTGGTTTATTTTCGACTTTAATCAGTTTTGAGTTTTTTAAAAGTTTACCACTCAAACTAAAATTTAAGCTTCCATTATTTTACCGCACTGCAGATTAATATCCTGTAGCGGAGAAGTTCAAAAGATAAACGGTGTCTTCAAACCATGGTATTGGATGGTTCAGCATCTTATTCACTCAAAGTCACGGAAATTATTGATCACCAAATGATTGAATAATAAATTATATTTGGCCAACACCTATAATCTTGAAATTGCAGATTCATAACTATATGAATCCATGGTTTTTTTGTGAATGAAATAAATAAAGAACATTTCTAGTTATGAAATTTGTATGTTTTGCAAATATCAATCAGAGGTCACATTTGAGTTGATATTTGACTAATATTAAGTACCTTTACCTATTTACTGTATTAACGCTTGCTTCGATCCTAACCTAGATTTTTACGTTTTCATAAAAATATGTTTTTGTATTTTACTGCTGACCTAGATTTTATCTAAAGTTATCACATTTACATTATTAGTTTGTTCTATTTATTAACTCTTGAATCTTTTATTAAATTTGATAATTACAAAATAAATGAAACAGGAGTTCATGTTATAAAGGCGTGTCTATGAACCTCGATCTTCAATGTTACACCTGTGCTGCCTTGCGAAGGGTCCTGTACCTTTGTATACCTTACTATGATATTCTATCCTAATATATACCACCAGTATTAGCATAAGATTTTACATGACATAGTAAAAATGTCTGACTTCAACCTACTTTTATATTTTTTTATGCATATAATTTGCTTGAAATTTGAAAACATAAAGCTCTTTTCTAGACAATGATATTAAATGTTCATTGTTTACATTTTGTTTAAATGCACTGTTATTATTATTTTTCTAGCCCCACCTTCAAACATTTTCTTGACATTACCTACTGAGACGTTGACAGCTTCTCAGCCTCGGATATCGTAAGTCTTAGTTCTTATACATCATTGACAGCTCTCACTGAAACACGATCAGCTTCTCAGCCATGAATATCAAAAGTCGTCACTCTGTTAGAACAATGACATCTCTCACTGAATCACCCACAACTTCGCAGCCACAGAGATCGTAAGTCGTAACTCTGTTAGAACAATGACATCCCTCACTGAATCACCCACAACCTCTCAGCCACAGATATCGTAAGTCGTAACTCGGTTAGAACAATGACATCCCTCACTGAATCACCCACAACTTTTCAGCCACAGATATCATCAGTCGTAACTCTGTTAGAACAATGACATCTCTCACTGGATCACCCACAACTTCTCAGCCACAGATATTGTAAGACGTAATTCTGTTAGAACACTGACATCTTGTTAGAACAATGACATCTCTCACTGAATCACCAACAACTTGTCAGCCACAGATATCCTAACTCGTAATTCTGTTAGAACAATGACATCTCTCACTGAATCACACACAACTTCTCAGCCACAGATATCGTAAGTCGTAACTCTGTTATAACAATGACATCTCTCACTGAATCACCCACAACTTCTCAGCCACAGATATTGTAAGTCATAATTCTGCTAGAACAATGACATCTCTCACTGAATCACCCACAACTTCTCAGCCACAGATATTGTAAGACGTAATTCTGTTAGAACACTGACATCTCTCACTGAATCACCCACAACTTGTCAGCCACAGATATCGTAAGTCGTAATTCCATTAGAACAGAAAGTAAAGAGCCCCAGTAGTCCAGTGGTAGGACGCTAGACTTGTGACCGAAGGGTTCCCGGTTCGAGTGTTGTATCTATGAACAAGGTACTTTTCTCCGCTTGTTCCAGTCTACTAAGTTGTTGATGAGTACGTGGTTGGGCAGTGGTCTATAGAATTGTAGAATGCTAGCTGTGAGCGCCGAAATGGCAGCGCTGGCTGTATGCTCCCCAGGGAGTTGAGAAAGATATTGGGTGGTTGCAAAGGCCCTATAACCACGGATAATAGTTTGTGAACCGCTTTGAGACGACCTAAGAACTAGGTTGTGATAAAGTGGTATACAAGAACCTCAAACTATTATTATTATTATAGAAGATTCCTTTATAGATGTTGTCTCTTATAGATTAGTATTGCTTAACAGGAAAGGTTTCTTATAGGACAGAATTGCTCTTCAACTGTACCTTGTTCTGTAAAATTTAAAATATTAAAATGACCAAATTTACTGATGGGTCATTTTTTTGTCTTTATGCAGTGATACATTTTATGCTAATTTTCTGTCATGAAAATATTTGCTACACTTTAAATTTAACTGTGTTATTTTCAGAAATTATCCAAATTTAATCGCTGGGAAAGTTTACGAGTGGAATGGTACAGTTGGACGTGCACAGCCCGCACCAAGTCTAGCCTGGAGGCGCGGGAACATTTACCTGAACAGCCATACGTCTGATACAACTGATAATGTTGATGAAACGGTCAGAACTGTGTCGACACTGCGCTACGCTCCGACTGTTGCTGACAATGATATTGATTTGACATTTGAAGTATTTCATCTTGCAACATCTCAACAAACTTCTTCTCACACCACCAAGTTAATTATTCATGGTAAGTATATAGAGTTGAATCCATATGATTTTTTGCTGTTTAATGTCATACTGTTTAATATCACATTCTGGTTAATATCATTATTTATTATTTTATATCAATTTGAGATATTGTATTAGATATACAAATGTAGTTTGTGTTATATCATGCTGTTTCACATTTATACTCCTCTTAATACTATGAACCAGTGCCAGATAGCAAAAAAATCCAGTTCAAAATTCTTATGTCCTTTTTTAAATTAAATATACCTAGTTTGCTGTTTATTATGCTATTTGACATTTACTTCTCTTTATATCATGTTTTAGTGCCAGATACCAAAAATGTATATGGTCCAAAACTTAAATGTCTTAAATTAGATATTGTTTGTTTTATATCATGCTATTTGACATTTTCTCCTCTTCATGTCATGTTTTTTTATTGGTACATTCAAAAAATATATCCAGTCCAAAACTTAAATGTCCAGTTTTAAATTAAATATAATTTGCTTTATATCATGCTATTTGACATTAAGTCCTCTTTATATCATATTTGATTGCCAGATACCAAAAATATCCTAAATGGTTTAGCGTCATGACAACTACTTCAATAAGGCATTTTTAGTTCACCTGGTCCGAAGGACCATGGTGAGCTTATGCAATACTGCAGCGTCCGTTGTCTGTCCGTCGTCAATCAGTCCGTCATCCCTTCGTCAACTTTTCCTTTAAAACACTTCTAGTCCTTAACAGCCCAGTAGATTTTTACTAAATTTGGTCTGGAGCATCCTTAGGCCAAGAAGACTCAATTTTGTATAAACGGTGGGTGTGGCCCCCCTGGGGGCAGCGGGGCGGGGCCCAATAGGGGAAATAGAGGTTAACCTTTAAGATCCTTCTTCTACCATAGGGATAAAGGGATTTCATTTCAAATTGGTCTAGAGCATCCTTGGGCAAAAGGGACTCAATTTTGTATGGACAGTGATTGTGGCTCCCTTGGGGCAGAAGGGGCCCAATAAGGGAAACATAGCAAATTCTTCAAAGTCCTTCTCCTTCTGTAGGAATGACAGGATTTTGTCCAAATTTGAACAGTAGCACCCTATGGGGAAGGCAAATCAATTTTGTATAAATGGTGAGTCTGAGGCCTGAGGGATTGGGCCCAATAGGGGTAATTTAGCAAAGTCTTTAAAATTCTTCTTCTTCTGTAGGAATGAAAGGATTTTGTCCATATTTGGTCTAAAGCATGCTTTGGTGAAGGAGACTTAATTTTGTATAATAGGCGGGTCTGACCTCCCTGGGGGCAGATGGGCGGGGCCCAATAAGGGATATAGAGGAATGGCTTTAATATCCTTCTTCTTCTGTTGGGATGAAGGTATTTTGACCAAATTTGAACAGTTAAGTATCTATGTGGAAGGGAAATCAATTTTGTATAATTGGGCGGTTTGAACACCCTTGGGGCAGAGGGGCAGGGCCAAATAAGGAAAATAGAAAAATAGCTTTAAAATCCTTCTTCTTCTGTAGGAATGACAGGATTTTGTCCATATTTGGTCTAAAGTGCCTCTTGTTTACTGAACTTTTATGAAAAATAATCATCAAGATAAAATATACAATCTATAATCAACAGCAGTGTTCTAAGTAAAACTTGAGCATGGTCAGCTGAACAGCATTCAAACCCTAGCCCTAAAACTGATACTGATACTGTATTCCATTCTCTTTCCAATTGAGCTGCTGATCAGGGTCAACAGAAGTACTTTTGCCCATGGCCAATAGGGGAAACATAGCAAATTATTCTTTGAAATCCTTCTTCTTCTGTAGGAATGAAAGGATTTGTTCCATATTTGGTCTTAAGCATCCTTGGGTGAAGGGGAACCAATTTTGTATGAAACTTGGGTCTGGCCCCCCAGGGGCCCTAAGGGCGGGGCCCAATAGGGGAAACATAGCAATTTATTCTTTAAAATCCTTCCTCTACCATAGGGATTAAGGTATTTATCCTAATTTAGTTTTGAGCATCCGTGGGCCAAGGGGACTCAATTTTGTATAAATTGTGGGTCTGGCCCCCGTGTGGAAATATAGCAAATTCTTTAAGATCCTTCTTCTAATTTGCGCGACAGTTATATCTAAAATTAAATAAAGGGGAGGTTACTGTGTTAACGAGCAAACACAGTGTAATCTCAAGTGCTTTGCCTGCAGAGGGATACTTGGATCCTTAAATTTGTGAATTCTCAATAAAAATTGAAAATTTCAATGTGTTTATTCCTCAGGCTAAAAATGTAAACAAATTTCAATGTGTGTATTCCTCAGGTCCACCCGTGGTTATTATCTCGCCCGATTCAGTGGACATCATAGTAGACAGCAGTCACACAGCGCAGTGTAACGTGACGTCGTCGTTGAATTCATACACTGTGAAGTGGTTCAAGGGAGTCTCGGAAATATCCAGCAATGATAAGTACTCATTGATTGGGAATAACTTGGTCATCTTAAGTGTCCAGTTTGCTGATGAGGGAGAGTACAGGTGTTTGGCTACGAATGCTGCCGGAGATTCAGCCAAGAGCAATGCTGTTACAGTCAGTGCCATCTGTAAGTATACAATTATTTCATGGCTATTTGGGGAACAGTCAAAAATATCGGCCGTCAGGCAAACAGTTCCACAGGGTTTCCTCCTACCGAGGGATGGTAGTTTTGACTGTTCCCCGAATGGCATTGAAACAATTGTTTTATTGCCAAATTAATGCTACATGTATCAGTGCTTCGTCAGCATAAACATCACTGAGTCGGGGTCACCGAAACGCTTGAATGGGGTTCTTGATGGGGTATTTCTGTTCATCAAATTTGCGCAGGGTAACAGTTAATTGGCTCTAACAAGAAAAACAGTCTTGACTGTTTCATCGATACAGCTGAAATTGGACAAAAAGCCAGAAACAGTCAAAAATGACTTGATATAATTTATTTAGACCATTGGGTAATAATACTAACTGTATATCGGGAATAATTTTGCTGTGATTAAATTTTCACCTTTTTTGCCCTCCGTTATGAGGGCAAATTTATCATTACAGCAAACATTTGTAAACAGCATGGTAAAAAAAAAACATTTTTCCGTCGATGGGCAAAAAAATATTCTACTAGGCGAAAGTTTTCCCTTATACAGTATATGCTTCTGTCATTGTAAGATTACATAGAGGATATCTGATATTTTTAAAGTACCAGCGAAAATATTGGAATATTCTCTGAATGAGTGAATAAATAATATGGTATTCAATGACAAAACTATTGTATTTTTTATTTCATTACATTCTTTAAATGTAACACATTAATAGGAAAGTTAATCCCCTGCAGGTTTTAAGTGTGATGACAGGTGACCATCCAGGTCCCTTGGTCTCTTGTCTTGGTATAGATAAGTCCTTCTGAATGAGATTTCCCCTATTATTAAAAGAAAGTGAAGAATTGAATAAGTAACTTACATTTGTACATCGGTCACCCATCCAGCTTTTGATCACACTCGACACTGAACCAGTGAGCGGGTCCCCGGGTTATACCGCATCGCTGGAAAAGCTAGCTTACCAGTAAGGCAGTATTTCATAGCTGTTACACTTACAAAGAAAAGAATATGCAAAAAATAGTCTGTCTTGTCAGCATAATAAAATACATTATGGGACGTGATGGGTATTGTAAAAAGATAACTGAAATAAACAAAACCGTCATGGCCGCCCAGGGCCAAGGTGGCCAAGTGGTTAAGGTGTCTGACACTCTGCTACCACTAGCCCTTCACCACTGGCTCGGGTGTCCGAGACCTACGTAGGGCAGTCACCAGGTACTGGCTGTAGGTCGGTGGGTTTTTCTGGGAACTCTGGGAACTCTGGCCTACCGAAAGCTCTTAATATAAACTTTATGTATTTTACAACAAGTAATTTCAACAATCTATATTAATCACTCTTGTTGGCCCAGATGTTAGTGCGTGGGTTCTTAATATACCTCGTGAAGGAGGCAGTGTTAGCCAGGTGAACGGTTGTCATGATGCAGGTTGCCTCAATATTTGTTTTGCTGTTTTCAGTAATAGTAAGGGTTCTCCTATCATTTCCATATGAAGATTGTGATGGTGCAGCTTAAAATAAATAAAAATAAAATAATATCTGTTTGTTTTTTAATGCGGGAGTTTCTGGAGTTCCCGGTGAAAACCCACATGGTCAGGCAGGTAACCCTAAACCTTTTCACATCCGATTGAGGAATCGAACCACAGTCGTCAGGGTGATAAAATCTCTTGGTATCTTGACATCTTAAATGGCTGACTGGTTATAATACCTGTACCAAATGTGATTTATACACAGATTTTTTCACAACCTTGAAATGATTTAAATATCGATCATCCTCTTTGATCTATCTATTTTTCAGCCGGGGCTGGTGAACCTGCCATCACTGGGTTTGTATCAAGCCCAAAAGAAGGCGACGTCTTGCAACTACTATGTACTTCAGTTGGAGGAGTGCCCACACCGTCGGTCATCTGGAAGAAGAATAACGTCGTTCAAGACGACACGGACTCGTCATCTACAATTGGTGGTGTGACCACTACAATAAATTTGTGGATATACACCGTGTCCTTCGCTGACCGCGGGGCCTCCTTGACCTGTCTGGCTACCAACAGTGTCGCAAACAAAACCAGAACTAAAACCTTCGATGATGTATATAGTATGTATTATGGCTTAGAATACACTTATTACTGGCTAGGGGCGGATCCAGAATTTGTTCAGGGGGGGATGTCACCATTCCAGATGTTAACTCATTCACCCCTGAAGTTTCATAATGAACTATCCCATCCTTTGAATTGGTAGAGTTTAAATGTGTCTTCAGGGGTGAATGAGTTAAGTTAATTCTGCGATGCCTGTGGTCTGAACCATGTCATGTTGCATTAAATAAAATAAGATTCTGTACCAGTTTTCAAGGGTCCCTTCTTAAGGGGGTGGGGGGTCTGTGGCAGTGTAATGCACAACTAGCATCATTAGTCAAGAAATACTCCATTCAGGGGTAAGCTTGTTACCATTCTATAAACCATAAAATATTGACGTGCACATCAGGTCCTAAGGACACAGAGCACACATTAAACAGAGCTGGGAGATGTCACACGATCAATGCAGTATATGTATGCTTTTATTTGTTTAAGTCAAGGGCAGGGGGGGGGTCACGTGCGCTGGTGACACCCCCTTGGATCCGCCTCTGCTGGCTGTCAAAAGCTCACACACTAAAACGTTTCGATGTGATGAGAGCTCCCTCCGATCATACATATTGATCCCCCCTCAATCATGTGGAGGCAGACATCTCTTATGAAGGACAGATATTTGTCATGGTGAACAAATAAAGGTTTTGTGCGGGCAGATATGATTTATGTGGGGCAGATATGACTGAGGTGAGGGCAGATATGATCTATGTGAGGGCAGATATGACTGAGTTGAGGGCAGATATGATTTATGTGAGGGCAGATATGACTGAGGTGAGGACAGATATGATTGAGGTGAGGACAGGCATCTTTCATGAAGAACAGATATTTTTCCTGAGGGAAGATAAGGTTTGTGTGGGGCAGATATCTTTTATGAAGGACAGATATGGTTTATGTGGGGCAGATATCTTTTATGAAGGACAGATATGGTTTATGTGAGGGCAGATATCTTTTATGAAGGACAGATATGGTTTATGTGAGAGCAAATATTTTTTTAATGAATAGTAGATACCTTTCACGAAGAACAAATATTTTTCCTGAGGGACTAATATAGTTTATTTGCAGGCAGATATGGCTTATGTGGGTCAGATATCTTTTATGAAAATCAGATATGTCTTATGTAATGAAGATATCTCATTAAATTTGGCATAAAATTGTTAAGGTAAACACTGATACATTGTATTGGTGTTATTTTTTAGGCTAAAGCAAATTTGAAATACATGTTTTTCCACAAATTTTCACACATTTTTTGCAAGAAATACTTACTTGAAATCTTCTCTTCTGTTATAACTATAATGGATGTCTAATTAATTCAATAACCTTTTGGTCCCACTGGTATCCAGCCACTGTTTTAGTTGACAGATTGGCCCTATACCATGCACAGTGGTGTCAACCTGTTAAACCTCCAATGAGGGAGAAAGTGGGTGAAATGTGACTGAAACTGCTTTCCTGAATTCATCTTTCCCTTTATATGTATCAAAAAGCATTTGTTTGGTTCAGACACACCTGTTATGAGAACACACACCCTGCAGTAACTAGGAGATCATTTGGTTCAGACACACCTGTTATGAGAACACACACCCTGCAGTAACTAGGAGATCATTTGGTTCAGACACACCTGTTATGAGAACACACACCCTGCAGTAACTAGGAGATCATTTGGTTCAGACACACCTGTTATGATCATTATACACACCCTGCAGTAACTAGGAGATCATTTGATTCAGACACACCTCTTATGATTATTACACACACCCTGCAGTAACTAGGAGATCATTTGATTCAGAAACACCTGTTATGATCATTACACACACCCTGCAGTACCTAGGAGATCATTTGATCACAGGATGTAGATTTTGAGTTTGTGTGAGTTTGGACTTGAATGAGGGAGTATCGAAATTGGTAATTTTTTGTCATTATGAGGGAGTCTTCCACCTAATGAGGGACGGTTGACAGCTATGCAACGTACAAAACGATCTATACAGCAGTCCCACCATATCACCACTTTTGTCTGTTAACAAAGATGGCTGGACTAGGTTGACCCTCCTGTGAATAGATAGACTATGTTCACTCTCTTGTGATATATTAAATGGTGTATAATGACAATGTTTTTTTTGGTAATTTTCAGTCCCACCCATTAATGGAGCAAGTTCAATACAGGGTTTAACCACAACATTGGCAGGTAGCACATATAACTACACCCTCAACTTTGCGAGAGTCCATCCTGCCCCTGGAGTCTTGTGGTCGGTGGGAGGAAGGCTGTTGCAAGCCAATGTGCCGCCAATCTCGGCAGTAGTAACCACCGGAGGATTTCTCAATGCGACGGCTAGCATCACTATTTTACAATTAGCAGAAGACAATCTTGAAATGCTTAAGGCTTCTGTTAGCCATCCTGAAACGAGCACAACTTTTGATGTGGTGACTACTCTCACTGTGAAATGTAAGTATAATAGATCATTCCCAAAAGTTCTTATATTATCTGATAACAAAATATTTACATTTCCTTAGATAATTTAAACCTGACCTACGAAAAATGATGTCCAATAACAGCACAAACCATTACCCCAGTACACATGAATGTGATCCAATCGAAAACTGTTCAGCTCTTTTCTGTCAAACTGAGTTCTTCCATGTCAATATTACAAATATTTAACCCTTTCCCAACTGTTGACCCTAATGGACTCATCCGAATCAATGCATGGTAGAGTCTACTAAAGTGACATAGGGAAGTACATGTGAAAGTGCTCCAATCGAAAACTGTTCAACCCTTTTCGTCAAACTGTGTTCTTCCATGTCATTATTGCAAATAGCTAACCCTTTCCCCACTGTTGACCCTAACGGACTCATCCCAATCAATGCATGGTAGAGTCTACTAAAGTTACATAGGGGTGAAGAGGTTAAATGTTAAATAGGTTTTTGATGACATAGTAAAACTTGCTGTGAAGGTAATTTTGAGGATCATTGATAGTTTGTACTACTGAAAATATAACGGTGGGCATATGACCTTGTAAACCTCTGTCTGTGTGTTGACTTTGTGAATACAATTTCAGATATAACATGGCATGGTGTTCATAAATCTTGATATATACAAACGTTTTGTTGTTAAAAAATCTCAATATATTTCAAATTTTCATTGTCATATTTAACAAAAATAACTGAAATATTACGTAAATATTTTCTTTAATATATAGCTCCTCCTTCGCAACCAAGTATTTCTGGGTTTCCATCAACAAACACAAGCATCAAAGGCACGACTCTTCAATTAGTATGTACCACCAAGGGAGGCTACCCTGTTCCGACACTCCAATGGTACAGAAACAACGCTCTGGTGGGTAACGGCGCCAGCACGGACTTCAGCGTGGAACCCACCGTCACTACGGTTACCTACACTTTGGCAGTAGTTCTGGCAGAAAAAGGTGCGGTGTTTAGGTGCACAGCTAAGAACGAAATCAACGAGCTGAGCAAAGAAGTTGGCCTGAAGGACGTGTATGGTAGGGCTATGGACCAACCAATGCTACAAAAAGTGTTAAATACATGCTGCAAATATGGTTTTTTTTCTCATGGTTTAAAAAAAAATCCTTATAAAAGGTTTACAAACTAAACTTCTTACAAAATAAAAGAGCCATAAATCGAAAAAAATAAGAAAGTAATTAAATCAGAATGTTGGTCATACTTTTTTAGAAGGGTTTTTTAAAACCCTATGTATTGCACATCAGCAAATTAGGTTTTTAAGAAACAAATATTACGATGTTATTTTCCTGAGTATACTGTCCAGGTCACCATGTTTTGAAGTTAACGTTTTTAGACAGTTTTTCGACGCTATATCTTGAAGAAAAAACAAAACATCTGAAGACTGGGCATTAATTTATGGTTTAACTATAAAAACTGCAAATGGTTTTCAAATTAGTAATTCTCGTGAAAAAACCTCATATTGTAGCATTCTATGGTGTGAACATGTATATTATATATATACATAATGTATTACAAATTGACAATTTTTTCCGTTCAAAGCCTAAGCTTGATACTCTTCTATTAACTTAAAAATGAGTGATACTTGTGATTAAGTTTTAAAAATGTTTCTGCAGTCCTGATTTTTAACATAACACATCTTCACATAGAGAGCCTAATTGCTGTATTGTACCTCAAATGAAAATGAGTTACAATTCATTGGAATTTTTCTCATGACGGGTAATCTTTGTTCGTCTGCTTAAGCAAACAAATGTATATGAAAGAAAATTATTTATTAAAATTTCCTTTTTGTCAAAAACATCTTGGTACAGTTAAAGTACATCTTATGAAAATGTGCATGAAGAAAGTAATTTGCGATATTTATTATTTTATCCTGGAGTTATGGCCCTTGAAACTTTTTACTCCAGAAACCTGGTAGGCACAACTTCTCCTTAACTTTTTTGTTGGATTTTATTTGTAACTTTGCATAGTGAAGATACATCAGATGCAGATGTGCATGAAGAAAGGGATTGGCGGTACAATTATATTTCCTAGAATTACAACCCTTGAAACTTTAAATTTATTCTCCAGAAACCCTATAAGTGAAAATGCCCCTTAACTGTTTATTGGCTATTTAAGTTACTTGGCATAGTCAATACTCAATCATATGGTCATGTGCAGGAAGAAAAGAATTTGTGATTCAACTATTTTTTCCTGGAGTTATGGCCCTTGAAACTTTAATTTCTGCTCCAGAAACCTTGTAAGTACAAGCGGGGTTTTATATCATTGTGAGATCGCTCACAGTTTTGCTAGTTATAACAAATGCAGTACTGCTACCGCTACAAAACTTTGTCAACATTTGTATGATTTCAAGACGATATCAAAGAATTCTCATCTTAAGTTAATGTATAGTAGTATCAAGGCTTTTTAAACAATATTATCAACACTGATAAAGACTAAGATTAAATACTCTAAACTGTTGACAGATTGTTCGATAGTAATTTGTCTAATATTTGCTAAAATATCTAGATAATTGTGTGCAGACATTGTATTGTTATCATTTAAAACACTGTTCAGTTGATTTATTTCTGTTTTGTTTTGTTTCAGATACTATACATTTGACTTAATTCTGATATGATTTTGATTTGTATTAATTTGTTATATGAAATTGGTTGTCAGAGAGGTTTTTTATGCTTTCTATATTTGAGGTTTAATTTTGATTTATTACCCTTTGTTCAACTTTAATAATTAACGAAACTCACTCATCTGTTGTTTGCTATCACAAAACCGCTAAGGGTATCTCCAGATATAAATATATAGGTCTGGGCATTTTTGTGACTCTTATCACCCCAATTTTTTCTCATATCTGTACTCGATCCATATTTAATACATGTATAGTAATCATTTTGAACCCCCCCCCCCTATATTGTCTACTTTGACAC